CAGACATTGCCATTGGCAGTGTATAGAATGGGAAATCCAGCCAAAGCAGGTCCAAATGGTCGTTTAATTAAAGTGATACTTCCCAGTACATCTTTTCAGCGAATTTGTTTGGCTCAGTGGAAAAAGAAACGTCTTGAGATTCGATCCATGGAAAAATGGACCAAATTACTAATAAGACCTTCACTAACTGCTGAACAACTACGCTTAGACAAGGAAGAGAGAGACAAACGCAGAATCGATTGGCAAGAAAGAAATAAGAATAATACTGCTGGAGACAACGTTACAAGACGTACAAAAAACTATTAGGTAATTTTGAGATCAAATTATACTATTTTAATTCAAGAAGTGTTACAAACAAAATTGACACTCTTAAATTCCTAATGCAAAAAAATTCCTTTGAAATAATATTGATAACTGAGAGCTGGCTAAATCATAAAACTTTAGACTCATCCATAATAGAAAACTCAAAATATTCATTAATACGTAACGATAGAATTAATTCTAAAAAAGGCGGCGGGGTTTTAGCAGTTATTTCAAATTCTATTCCCTTTAATGAAATTAAAACCTGCAAAAATTCTCACTATGAAATACTATGTTTTGACATATATTCACCTTTTACTTCCCAGAAACATAGATTTATATTAGTTTATCTCCCACCACCTGTAAACAAAATACAACAAAATTGCCTTGTTGAAAAATTACAACAATTAACCAGTATTGATTATACATACTCTATCATTGGTGATTTCAATATTCCTTATATACCCTGGGGTAGCGAAAATTTAATAGAAATTAAAAATGATAATATTTTACTAGAATTTATAAAATACTCTCAACTAGAACAAATTATAAAATTTCCTACACGCCAAAACAATTTTTTAGATTTAATATTTACTAATTCACTTTCCTCCTATAAATCCATAAATATGACTGAACCAATACAATCAAACATATACCAGTCCGATCATAATGGAATAGAAGTCATTTTCAATTTCATAAAAACCAAAAATCTTAATCAAAATTATAAAGATTATATAAACTGTAACTATAATATCATAAACAACTATCTAAATTCAATAAACTGGAATTTATGTTTTGCAAATTGCATAGACATAAATCACCTGTATTCCACCTTCCAAAAAATAATTTCTGAAACTATAGAAAATTTGATACCAACAAAATCTAGAAACAGTAAAAATTTATTACCAAAACACATACAATCATTAATTGAATACCGTCGTAAACTATTTAAGGATAAAAGTTTACACTCAACAGAAAAATTTAAAATTGCATCATTAAAAATAGATAAAGAAATACAGAAATACTTTAGAAATCGTGAAAATAAACGATTAAAAAATATTCGAACTAAATATACTCATATTACAAACCTTTTAAAGACAAAAAATACACAAATTCCAATACTCTTGGACAATAATAAACTTCCTCTAATATCAGCTAAATCTAAAGCTAATCTCTTTTCAAACTATTTTTCACAAATTCTCTCTCCATCCAATCAAAAATCTCTAATCCACAAACCTTCTCTCACTCCAAAATCTTCTTCAAATAAAAATAACCTCATTAACACACACACAAACAAACCATATTTAAACTTTATACAATCATTTCAAGAAGATATATTCTTTATATTAAAATCGTTAACAAATAAATCAAATATATCGACAGATATGATTCCTGAGATATTTTTAAAAAATTGCTCACAATCACTTGCTTACCCTATCTACTACATATTTAACTATATTACAATGAGCGCAAACTTACCCGATATCTGGAAACAGTCCATAATTATACCCATTCCGAAAAATAAAAATTCATCCTGTCCTTCAGACTACCGGCCAATATCTCTATTATGTCCAATCTCAAAAGTCTTCGAAAGATTATTATACAATCAATTAATTAATTTTATAGAAAAATATGAAATTATCCCTAACGTCCAACATGGATTTCGAAAAGGGAAATCAGTAACCACACAACTTTTAGAAACATTCAACGACTTTTCGATTGCTTTGGAAAATAAACAATTTATTGATGTCATATATTTTGATTTTAGTAAAGCCTTCGACACAGTTCCACATGATAAACTTATAAATAAATTACACAAAATTGGAATAAGGGGATCTTTTTTACAATTGCTAAAAAATTACCTCACTAATAGAAAATTTACTGTGATGATCCAAGATTATAAAACTGATTTAATGGATATAAATAGAGGCGTCCCACAGGGGTCAATACTAGGGCCATTATTTTTCCTTATATACATATCAGATCTACCCAGTTTCTGTGAAACAAAGGACGTAAAGATAAAATTGTTTGCAGACGATCTTAAAGCATACTCATTCTCTAAAAACACTAAAGACTTTGAAATTAACCTACAAGAGTTTATCAAAAAACTAGAAAAATATGCTGAGGAAAATTCACTCAAACTTTCAGCCGAAAAAACATCTCTTTTACACATAGGGCCTAAAAACCCTTTGCACACATACACACTCAATAATCAAAAGATAAAAACAGTCTCAAATCAAGATTCTATAAGAGACCTTGGCGTTTATTTTTCACACGATTTAAAATGGGAAAAGCACATCAAAATTATAACTAACAAAGCAAATCAAACAGCATTTACAATAATAAGAAATCTAAAAACTAATGATCCTAAAATATTACTCGAACTATATAAAATATACGTATTACCCATAATAGAATTTGCATCGCCCGTTTTCAATCCATATCTTAAAAAGGATATCGAACACCTTGAACAAATACAAAAAACTTATTTACGTATTATATACAATAGGTCAAATCCACGCACACCAATTCCAGAATATCAAGACCTTCTACAAATTTTTAAGGTAGACTCGCTACAAATTAGAAGACTCAAAACTGACTTTAAATTTTTCCACAAAATTTTACATGGTGAAGTAAAAATCGATCAAAAAGAAACATTTAAAATTACAAAAACTAATACAAGGGGAGACGAATATAAATTTTTTATTCCGGCAAGATCAAATCAAATCAGCCATAATTCCTTTTTTGTTAGGACAGCGCGGCTATACTCTCAGTTACCAATATCAATACGTAAATCAAATTCCAAAATATTCAAAACACTTCTTGATCAAATAGATCTCAACACATATTTATCACGCCCCACACCCGTAACATAATACAATCACATATATTTGTTGTACCAATTATTGACATATATTTGTTTTAGTTTAATTTTCAACTTGACTTAATTTATTTTTTCAATCCATATATGTATTTTCAAATTTGTAATGTCGCCCAAGAGGCAAATAAATAAATAAATAAATAAATAAAATTTTGCAATTGCGGGATAGGACCATTGAGTACAACCTTTTGAGTCCCTGATCCATATTTAGCCCTAAATTTTTCGATTTTAACCCATTTGAATAAGATTTGGATGTGTTCGTAAGATTTGGATGTGTCGTTTCTTTTTCTTAGGAAGACCGTTTTGATATGATTTTTTAAAGCTATAAGCAGATAAACAGAAAATCATTGTCCTAACTAAACAGTTTATAACATTTTAAGGAATGCTCATGTCATTTCGATATTAGGAAAAAATCTTCATTTCCATGGCTTTCGAATGATAAAAGTTCTATTCGAAATGTATAAACTCAAAGTTATTGATTAAAATACGACCAAAAATAGGCGAGACTCAAACATACCCATTTTAATTGTAGTATTGATGAGTCTTATTAATTCAATCGCGAATCTTTTATGATTTTTAAAAGAATTATTGGCTAAAATTGTTTAAGACTTTTTTAAATTTATTATATTTTAGTTAAGCATGGAATCTTGTGCACTTTGTTCGAAACAAATTAATTCTGAAGGCAATATTTCAGCTGCTTGTGGTCACAAAGTTCATTTAGCATGTTTGGTGCCTTATTTCTTGACTAAGAATTTATGCCCCAGCGATGGGTGTGGTTTGGAAATTGTACGGGAAATTACAACTGTATCGGAAAGTGGGTATATTTGTTTTGAATTTAGACATTCAAGTTTTAAAAATTTTCAAAATTTTTTTGAAAATTTTAGGCTTAGTTTAATCGTTATTGAGTTAATTTAGAACCTATTCGAGTTGTATATCATTCAAAAGCGCTTGTTGAGCTCTTTCGAATGACATATAATTTATCTATTTTTGGAGGTGAAATAAGTACAAACCAAATTTAAAAAGTTTCCAAATTCAAAACAATTTTTTATTCTAGCAAAACTAAAACTATGTGTTAAACGAAGTCATTCTGCTTCAACTTGTTCTTATGAATTGGCTGCTAAAAGGAAATCTGAGGTTTTTTGATAGTTTTTGATTTTTTTCTGTAGTTAAAGTTTTTAAGTTTACTTATTTGGGCTGTGTCCAAACATCACATCAGTCTCAAATATGAGAGTATAATCCTTAACCAATCCTTAACCATCTCAAGTAATCCTTAACCAGCTTCTGTCATAGATTTTCTTGAAACATTCGCTTAAATAATAAGGGACACCAGTGCCTTATTAATCCTTTTGTGGCTCGGGCTTCAAAATTTCCCGTATTCAATCCTGGGTCCGAACTTTGGTTTTGCCCCTGGCTCTCCCAAATTTTCCAAAAATTTTTTCCTTTTAATTTTCTGGTTAAATCGTCAGTTTATTTTAACTTCAGGGTCCTTCTTCTTCACAAAATGTTCAGTCAAATACAGGAGAAGAGAAGGAAAATGTTGAGGGACTTACAATAAAAAATTGTTCTGTTCAGGCAAAGCAACTCACTAAGTCTTTGCTTTCGAACATTCCACAAAAATTTCTAGGTTCACTATCTTTTAGTCTAAATAATTAAATAAATTTTAAGCTGGTAAAAAGTTTAAAAAGCTAGAGAGAGACTTTGAAATTAATTTGGATAATGTTGAAGGCAACCAAATCATTCCAATTACCATTCCAAAGACATTTTCAGGTTTAGCATGTTTTATTTAAATAATTAATTACTTTTACATTGTTAAAGACCCGCTATTCAAGTGCGAGTATGCCGTTGGTAATTTCAATGGAAATGTTCATGTGATTTAATTTCTCCTAACGAGTCCACCACAGAAGACCCACAACCCTTTGAACATCACAAATTTTTATTTTTGATATTTTTACAAATTTACTTAGGGGCTCAAGAGGATTTTTTGCGGATATTACGACACTCCAAATCTGGTTACCGAGATCCTTCCAACTCTGATATCACGATATCTCTCCGAATCTTACGATATTTCTCCAAATACCCTGATCTCATCCTTAGTCCCACCAATCTAAATAGGTTTTCGATATTGACCCCCCTGTCAACAATTTTAAAGGTAGTTCTTCGAATGACGCCCCCCCCCCATTTTTCTGTTCTATTTTTTCATTTATATGGAAAATATATATCAATCAAAAGAGCATTTCAAGCTGCCAATAAGTCGATTGCCACAAAAATCATCAATTTGATCTCACAAAAGGCCTTTCCATCTAGGATTCAGCATCATAATTTTGTTTCTATTGATCGAATCTAACCGATCATGGTATCATTCGACCCAAACTCCTTTGAATGATATTGTACTAAATTATATATCAAGTAGAGCTCATAATGGACAGGGAAACCAGAAAAAGAGGGGGGGTGCGTCATCCGAAGAATTGCCATTTTGAATTTCATATACTATACCCTTAAATTCTCATAATTTATAGGTGAAATTGGTTGGGAACGCACTTATAATTCATTGGTTTAATGAAGTTGAAGAAGATGGACTGGTCTACAAGCAACATGTAAAAATTCTTCCACAAACAACCAATTTAAATTCAATAAAAGCTACACTTACTGGAGGTCCGACTCCAATTCTTACAATAAAAGCTTGGGGCTTTTAAAGGAAGTTATGTCTTTTAAGAAGTTTGGACAATAAAATATAAACAAAATTTCTTTGCTTTACTTAAAAATAATTTTAACTTCAAAAAATACATACACTAACAAGTATATTTTTGGAATATTTGTTTTTGAAAAATTTTTTCTTAAAAACATTTTCTAGATTTTAGAATAATTTTAAATTTTTCTTAAAATTTTTTTCAAAAACAAACTTGAATATTTGTAGCATCATGATATTTGTCTTTTGCTTTACCTATACGATTTTAATTCAAATTTAAGAAAACCTCTTTGTAACGTATTTTAGTGCTTTTTAACATTCGGAACTTTTTGGTCTAAAAATTGAAAAATAATTTATTAGGTGGTTGTGTCTAAAAACTTTTCCGGAATCTTATAAAATTATAGACACTTTCCGGGAATATTCTTAAAAACATTCTTTTCAACATTAAACATTTACCGAGGTGCCTGACAAATAAAAGACGCATCTTAAGTTGAGATGTAATCAATATTTGAATTGCTAAATAAAGGGTTCCGACTGTATTTTATAATCTAATTTTTTACATCTTACAAAAATATTTTTGACATATAAATCGAATAAATGAATTATTTTTTAAATTTTTAAAAATTTTATTTTTTGGATTAACAGACATGAGAAATGTCGTTAATTATACTTCCTTGTGGTCGTGAAATGATCGAATTTTTTTTTCTGTCCAAGTCAATTTCTATAGCTACACTGTGGTGCAAAATACACTTTGGAAAATTTTCTTTAATGTACCGTATCTCGAGAAGTCGAAGTTTTATCGAGATAATTTTTTTTTCGCCTAGTAGTTTAAAAAGTGCTCTTTCTAATAAGCTTTAGTTTTAAAAATAACCCCCAGTACTTATTGAGATATACACCATTTCCCAAACTGCTTCAATTTTCTTCGGTGCAAAAGTTTATATACACTTTACAAAAATTGGATTTTTAGAAAAACAAATGGCAGGAAAAATACAAAAAAAATTCTGTGAACATTTTCATCAATACTGAGTAGAAAATAAAAAAGAACGAAGTCCGTAACTGTTTTCATCATCTGTATTTTTTTTTTCCTGCCATTTGTTTTTCTAAAAATCCAATTTTTGTAAAGTGTATATAAACTTTTGCACCGAAGAAAATTGAAGCAGTTTGGGAAATGGTGTATATCTCAATAAGTACTGGGGGTTATTTTTAAAATAAAGCTTATTAGAAAGAGCACTTTTTAAACTACTAGGCGAAAAAAAAATTATCTCGATAAAACTTCGACTTCTCGAGATACGGTACATTAAAGAAAATTTTCCAAAGTGTATATAAACTTTTGCACCACAGTGTATTCCATACCGCCATCAAAAATAATTCCACTGTTGTTGAGGGAAATATTCTAAACAGCTGGAAAATGTTTTATGTTTGGGAGGTATGAGGGCAAACAACTTTTTCATAAAAACATGTTAGACTTTCATAAAAAAATGTTCACTGACATAGAAACATCTATGTTTTTCCGGAAACATTTTAAAAATAATCTTTTCCCAGAACATTTTAAAAATTAAATGTTTTCCAGAAAAACATTTAATGTTTTACCTTTCTGGAGACTTTTAAGATTTACCTAAATGTTTTTCCGGAACATCTTAAAAATTAAATGTTTTCAGGAAACATGTATGTAATAATTAATGTTTTTACGGAAACATTCTAAAATTAAATGTTTTTCCGGCAAAATAATACCATTAACAGAAAAATTTTTAACCGATAAATTATAGCAGTAGCACTCTCACAAAAAAGGAAAAAATACGAATTACGCTTACGAAAAAAATTTCGATTAACGAACCCCTCATATTTACTGTATTTTCCTTACTCGTTGATTTAGAGTGATCGTCTTATTCAGGGATTTCAAAATAAATATTTAATAAAACTTAAATTGTGAAATAAAAAAAAATTAATTTAATATGTAGAAAAATGTTAATGTTAATTTTTATTAAAATTAAAAGGCACAAAAATTATATTTATTAATTAATATTTATTATTTCCTTCTTGTCATCATTTCAGTAAATTCTAAAATTAAAAAAAAATGTTAAAAATATTTTTTAAATTTTTACCAATAAAATTAATTTTTCCATCTTTATTAGTATCAACTTGTAAATAAATTGCTTTTATCTCTTTATCATCTAAATCATGCCCCATTTTTTGAAAGGCAGTTCTTAACTCTGATCTGAAAAGTAGCATTAAACGCCTAGTAGCATTAAATAAAATGCCTAGTATGTAGAGCCGAAAGTTCGGAAGCGGAGTTAGGGTTGGCGGATCTGTATATCCAGATCCGCCAGAACACTCCAAAAAGACGGATTTTAATTTTTTAGGGGAGCGGGTCGAGTTGGAGACAATCATCCTGAAAAATCTTTCGGGGTTTTTAAGGATAATGAAAGCGGATTAGCTCGAGCACTTGTTAAAAATTATAAAATAATATTTTTTTGATAATAACTTTAAAAATTAATAAAAGCCTTCGACCCTGGCGTTAACGTAAAAGTTGCAATATATTAAATATAATTATTATTTATTACCTCTTTTAGTCGTTCCTTTATTCTATATATCCTTTTCCTACATGCTTTTGATCTCGCAAAATAATATAAAAATAAATCTTTATGAAAAGAAGCGAAGAGGCGAAAAACTTTTTAAAATTTTACTCAAAGGAAAAAACAAAAATTGTGTAATTTTGCCTGTCTAATAATTATTTTGTTTTCTTTAAATATTTATGTTGACATTTTTAAGAATTATAGGTAAATGGGAGGAGCTAACAAACTTTTTAAATATTTGAAAGATTTAATCCCACCCATACCAAGTATAAATATCATTCAAAGACGAAGAACAAATATCTGTGTTTAATCATTTAAATTAAATAAATTTTTAATTCTTTAAAAACTATAATAAAATTTTTTTACGTTTTTATATTCCTGATAAATAATTTAAAATTCATATGTAAAAAGATTTTTCCGGAAAGTTTTTATTATTTTAGGCTTATATTTACATTCCTGAATGTGTTCTATTCTATCTCCAATAAGTTTTTTTAAAACACATTTAATTGTGTTTTTTGTAAAGTTTTTATTAATTGAAGTTTTTTTGGGTACTTGACGGATATACGCCCACAAACTGAGTGGCATCCGACATTGATTGTCTATAACTTTTTTGAGCTTGGTCCAATTCAAATAAATCTTATCATTCGAAAGCCCTCGATAAGCGGTACCTTATTCTAATATCAATTCTGATCATTCATTTAAAAGTTATAATACGATAAGTCCAGTTATTTAGTACTTTCCAGATTTATCGGGTTATAATTCGGCCGGCACCCAGTTTGTGGGCATATAACCGATGAGTACTTTTTTTGATTTCCCGGAATATTTATATTAACTTTTGATTTTCCTGAATGTGTTCTATTTATTTTTCCGTAAAGTATTCTATTTTGTTTCTTGAAAAATTTATTTTTAAGTGAGTTTCGAGTTTGTATTTTGAAGTTAAATTTAAATGTTTTCCAGAAAATCTATATTATATATTTACTGTAAATTAAATTTTCCGGAAGTATTCTATTACTTGTATATTTTATATTTAATTTCCGGAAGTTGTTCTATTTTGTTTTCGGAAAGTTTTATATTCTGTTCTTGGGTTAATCTGTTTTTTAAAACAATTAAAATGTGTCTTCCGGAGTGTTTATATTATTTTATGTTTTATCTTTACTTTCCGAAATGTATTCTATTTAATTTTTGAAGAATTTATATTTGTTTTCCGGAATGTGTATTATTTAATTTATTTGTTAGTGTGTGTTTTATATTTACTCTCCGGAAACAATTTATGAGAGGAATATGTACACATAATTTAAAATACTTTTCAGATAAAAATGGAAAATCCCCAAAATAAAAATTACAAAGAATACAAAAACAATAAAAATTATTCCCCTTTGCCTCTTGAATTGCTATTTGATTTAATTAAAGCAGCTAATATAAATAATAAATTAATAAATAATCATACAATTGGAAAAACAAAATTGGAGTTAAAATGGAAGGAATATGCTACAAAACTCTCAACATCTTCTTTGTTATTTTATACTTTAGCTGGGAAAAATTTTAGAAAAATGTTTATAAAATTTAAGGTAGTTATAATCAGTCATAAGATTAATATTTTTTATAGCCAATATCGGAGATATTTCATTAGAATATATATCGTTATCGGTATTTTAGATAATCATGAATATTTCAGGAAATTTTATATACCATTTGTAAGCTGTATATGGGGTCACTTTAGTACGTGGGTCCCGGAGTTAAAATACAAATGTTATACCATTCGAAAGAGCTAGTCGAGCTGAGTCGAATGCCACCAGTTTTAGCCCGAGGAAAAATTTTTGGACCGAGATATAGGTCCCTGAAATTTGAAAAAGCATAGGGGGGGCCAAGCACTTTTTTGGGGTGAAAAATTAGAAAATGCAAATGATACCTCATTCGAAAGAGCTCTTCGAGCTGAATCGAAAAACACCAAAATCAATGAAATCCGACTTGATTGGACAAAGTTATGATTTTTTATTTTAGCTCCTTACCTATGGCATCTGCGGAGATTTTTGCTGCTACGGAGGCCCCAAATACGTCCATATCAAGGGATGGACGTATTTGGTTTATGTTACGAGCCCAGACCCAGCACCCGCAGACTCCCCGCGAGGCGCGTGCCGCAAAACCCCGCGCGAAGCGCGGGGTTTTGCACAAGCGCCTCGCCGACGCCTATAGGTTTAGGTTTTTTGTTTTTTTGTGTCATAACTTTGTCTAATCTTGTTCAATCACAGTGATTTTGGTGGCATTCGACTCAGCTCGACTAGCTCTTTCGAATGGTATAACATTTGTATTTTAACTCCGGGACCCACGTACTAAAGTACAGCCCTGTATATTATTGAAATATCCTTCCATTATTTTTGCGAAAAAGATTTTAAATTGATATTATAATTGAAATTGTTTAAATTTAGACAAAAACCCCTCTACAAAGATTTTCGCAATGAATTGAAGTCTCTGAATCGAAGAGAACAAAGTGTCCTTAGTGGAAATTTAAATTTTACGATTGCGGGAAAGGACCATTGAGTAAAGCCTTTTGAGTCTGATCCATATTTAGCCCAAATTTTTCGAATTTTAACCCATTTGAATAAGATTTGGATGTGTCGTTTCTTTTTCTTAGGAAGACCGTTTTGATATGATTTTTTAAAGCTATAAGCAGATAAACAGAAAATCATTGTCCTAACTAAACAGTTTATAACATTTTAAGGAATGCTCATGTCATTTCGATATTAGGAAAAAATCTTCATTTCCATGGCTTTCGAATGATAAAAGTTCTATTCGAAATGTATAAACTCAAAGTTATTGATTAAAATACGACCAAAAATAGGCGAGACTCAAACATACCCATTTTAATAGTAGTATTGATGAGTCTTATTAATTCAATCGCGAATCTTTTATGATTTTTAAAAGAATTATTGGCTAAAATTGTTTAAGACTTTTTTAAATTTATTATATTTTAGTTAAGCATGGAATCTTGTCCACTTTGTTCGAAACAAATTAATTCTGAAGGCAATATTTCAGCTGCTTGTGGCCACAACTTTCATTTAGCATGTTTAGTGCCTTATTTCTTGACTAAGAGTTTATGCCCCAGCGATGGGTGTGGTTTGGAAATTGTACGGGAAATTACAACTGAATCGGAAAGTGGGTTTATTTGTTTTATATGAGGCTGATTTTTTTATTTTTTATTCTAGCAAAAGTGTGTATGAAACGAAGTCATTCTGCTTCAACCTGTTCTTACGAATTGGCTCCTAAAAGGAAATCTGAGGTTCTTTCATATTTTCTTTGATTTTTTGGAGTTAAAAGTTTTGAGTTTACTTAGCGGGGCTGTGTCCAAACATCACATCAGTCTCAAATATGAGAGATCTTAAGGCCATTTTTAGTTTTATTCCAGGTTCTCATGTAATCCTTAACCAGTTTTTGTCATAGATTTTCTTGAAACATTTGCTTAAATAGTAAGGGACACAAGTGCCTGTAGTAATCCTTTTGTGGCTCGGGCTTCAAAATTTCCCGTATTCAAACCTGGGTCCGAACTTTGGCTTTGCCCTGGCTCTCCCAAATTTTCCAAAAATTTTTTCCTTTTCAATTTTCTGGTTAAATCGTTAGTTTATTTTATCTTCAGGGTCCTTCTTCTTTACAAAATGTTCAGTCAACTACAGGAGAAGACAAGGAAAATGTTGATGGACTTGAGGGACTTAAAATAAAAAATTGTTCTGTTCAGGCAAAACAACTCACTAAGTCTTTGCTTTCGAACATTCCACGGGAATTTCCAGGTTCACTATCTTTTAGTTTAAATAATTAAATAAATTTTAAGCTGGTAAAAAGTTTAAAAAGCTAGAGAGAGACTTTGAAATTAATTTGGATAATGTTGAAGGCAACCAAATCATTCCAATTACCATTCCAAGGACAATTTCAGGTTTAGCATGTTTTATTTAAATAATTACTTTTACGTTGTTAAAGACCCGCTATTCAAGTGCGAGTTTGCCGTTGGCAATTTCAAGGAGAATGTTCATGTGAGTTTAATTTCTGCTAACTTTCGTAGTTTATCTAATGATTTGGCATAATTCAGTGGATTTTGGGGGAGTAGTAGATACATCGGGTATTTTCTTAAGTTAAAGTTGGGATTATGGGATTGAAAAAATAACGAGGAATTTTGAAATTAATACTCCGATATCCATACAAATCCCTTTTTCGTCTTTTCCAACGCCGCAGGCGAAAATTTTGAGCATTTTGGAATATCTATAAGGCCAGGATTCTTCCTTTTACAGCGCCGCAGGCGAAAATTTGAGAATTTTGGAAGGCCATTGGACAAGATTCTTCCTTTTCCCTAATTCTTGGATCTGAACCAAAAATTACGGATATTCGGAACCGGAACCGATAACCGAACCGAAGATTACGGATAATCCCGAGATATCTCCGAGTTTCACGATAACTCCCCAAATATCCTGATCTTACCTTTATCCCTCAAATCCATACAGGTCTTCATAGTTTACCCTTGCTAACAATTTTAAATTTTATTTTATAAAATTTCTCATTTATAGGTCAAATTGGTTGGAGATGCTCTTATAGTTCATTGGCTGAATGAAGTAAAAGTAGTTGATAAAACAGAATTATTCTTTGATCAACACATCAAACATCGCATAAAAATTCTTCCACCAACAACCAATTTAAATTCAATAAAGGCTACACTTACTGGAGGTCCGACTCCAATTCTTACAATAAAAGCTTGGGGCTTTTAAAGGAAGTTATGTCTTTTAAGAAGTTTGGACAATAAAATATAAACAAAATTTCTTTGCTTTACTTAAAAATAATTTTAACTTCAAAAAATACATACACTAACAAGTATATTTTTGGAATATTTGTTTTTGAAAAATTTTTTCTTAAAAACATTTTCTAGATTTTAGAATAATTTTAAATTTTTCTTAAAATTTTTTTCAAAAACAAACTTGAATATTTGTAGCATCATGATATTTGTCTTTTGGCTTTACCTATACGATTTTAATTCAAATTTAAGAAAACCTCTTTGTAACGTATTTTAGTGCTTTTTAACATTCGGAACTTTTTGGTCTAAAAATTGAAAAATAACTTATTAGGTGGTTGTGTCTAAAAACTTTTCCGGAATCTTATAATATTATAGACACTTTCCGGGAATATTCTTAAAAACATTCTTTTCAACATTAAACATTTACCGAGGTGCCTGACAAATAAAAGACGCATTTTAAGTTGATGTAATCAATATTTGAATTGCTAAATAAAGGGTTCCGACTGTATTTTATAATCTAATTTTTTACATCTTACAAAAATATTTTTGACATATAAATCGAATAAATGAATTATTTTTTAAATTTTTAAAAATTTTATTTTTTGGATTAACAGACATGAGAAATGTCGTTAATTATACTTCCTTGTGGTCGTGAAATGATCGAATTTTTTTTTCTGTCCAAGTCAATTTCTATAGCTATTCCATACCGCCATCAAAAAGTAATTCCACTGTTGTTGAGGGAAATACATATCCTGAACAGCTGGAAAATGTTTTATGTTTGGGAGGTATGAGGGCAAACAACTTTTTCATAAAAACATGTTAGACTTTCATAAAAAAATGTTCACTGACATAGAAACATCTATGTTTTTCCGGAAACATTTTAAAAATAATCTTTTCCCAGAACATTTTAAAAATTAAATGTTTTCCAGAAAAACATTTAATGTTTTACCTTTCCGGAGACATTTAAGATTTACCTAAATGTTTTTCCGGAACATCTTAAAAATTAAATGTTTTCAGGAAACATGTATGTAATAATTAATGTTTTTCGGAAACATTCTAAAATTAAATGTTTTTCCGGCAAAATAATACCATTAACAGAAAAATTTTTAACCGATAAATTATAGCAGTAGCACTCTCACAAAAAAGGAAAAAATACGAATTACGATTACGAAAATAAATTTCGATTAACGAACCCCTCATATTTACTGCATTTTTCCTTACTCAAAAAATTGATTTAGAGTGATCGTTTTATTCAGGGATTTTAAAATAAATATTTAAAACCCTTAAAATTGTGAAATAAAAAATTTAATTTAAATTGTAGATAAATGTTAACGTTAATTTTTTATTAAAATTAAAAGGCACAAGAATTATATTTAATAATTAATATTATTTCCTTCTTGTCATCATTTCAGTAAATTCTAAAATTAAATAAATGTTAAAAATATTTTTTTAATTTTTACCAATAAAATTAATTTTTCCATCTTTATTAGTATCAACTTGTAAATAAATTGCTTTTATCTCTTTATCATCTAAATCATGCCCCATTTTTTGAAAGGCAGCTCTTAGCTCTGATCTAAAAAGTAGCATTAAACGCCTAGTAGCATTAAATAAAATGCCTATTATGTAGCATTAAATGCCGAAAGTTCAGAAGCGGAGTTAGGGTTGGCGGATCTGTATATCCAGGTCCGCCAAAACACTCCAAAAAGCACGGATTTTAACTTTTTTTTAGGGGAGCGGGTCAGGTTGGAGACAATCATCATAAAAAAATCTTTCGGGGTTTTTAAGGATAATGAAAGCGGATTAGCTCGAGCAATTGTTAAAAATTATAAAATAATATTTTTTGATAATAACTTTAAAAATTAATAAAAGCCTTATACCCTATCGTTAACGTAAAAGTTGCAATATATTAAATATAATTATTATTTATTACCTTGTAATATATCCATCACCATCTACATCTAACTCATCAAACTAATATAACAAATTTTATTTCAAAAATTTAGATTGTAGACTTTAATAATTTTATAAGTAGTGTTCAGATTTTTAAGCGTTTTCTTAAACATCCTATATTCTGATAAATTCTTTTTTTTACAATCTTGTTCTAAAATTGTATTTTCCATACATATATTAAAAAATATTACACAAAAATGGTTTCTAATTTAAAAGAAATTTTATTATTATTTTTAGCTGTTTTCCTCCGATTTATTTCTTTAAAATTCTGGCCCTATGTACACACATATTTATAATAAATTTATCAAAAATAATTTAAATAACTTACCACGGTTTTTAAAGATAATGAAAGTGGATTAGCTCGAGCAATTGTTAAAAATTCTAAAATAAATATTTTTTGATAGTATATTTTTTGAAATATTTTTTGATAGCAGATCCTCTAAATTTACTCCTCTTTCACTTAAACTATCCTAGTTTTCCTTTAATAGAGTAGAAGTGAGAGAATTACAAATACTATGTAATTACTTTAATGCCCACATATTTTTTAAATTTACCATCAAAATCTATATTTCCATCTTTATCAGCATCGGCAGCATCAAACATTGCATTCAATTCTTCTTCTGTTGGTGATTGACCCATTTTAATCATAACTGAACGTAATTCATCTTTTTGTATATATCCATCCCCATTAAGATCAAATTCTCTAAACATTGCCTGTAAATCATCTTCTCGAATTTCCCCTACATTCTGAAGAGGAAAAACAAAGAATAATTATTAAACTTTTAAAACAAAAAAAGAGAACTTTATTTTTTGAATGCTTTCCCGGGGTTCCTGCAGTTTTAAAATTTCCTTTTCTTTTTGACATACACATTCCCATATTTAATAAATATGATTTAAATTTATTCTTTAAAATTAATTATGTAATTCTAAAATACATTAAGAAGGCTTTACAGATTAATTAATATTTTTTAAATAAGGATAAGTTTTTTACAATAAGCTCCGAGCCACAAAAACTTATTTTTGTGATTAAACAAGCAATTATGAGAGTCTGTCCTGATTTGTTAAAAATTAACAAAAAATATGTGATAAAATTATGTTGGGAAAAGATTTAATGCAAAATTCGATAAAATGATAAAAATATATTTAGATAATTCTGGGAGGTCTTAAAATAATTATTTAATGCAATTGACAGAAATAATTCGCGCAACTAATTTTACAAAAAAATAATTTTGGTTGTAAGAAATTAAAAAAAAAGTAAATTGATTAAATAAATAAATATTTTAAGTAAAGAATTAAATATAAATTAATTTTTTTAAATTTTAAATCAATCAAATAAATATAAAAATAAACATAAAATGTTTTTAATTTAGACTATTTGTTTTACTATTTTGGGTTTTTTATTTCTGCAAAATATTTGAAGTAAAGAATAAACTTTTAAATTTTTTAAAAAAGATTTTAGAATTTTTAAAATAAAATTTTAAATCGATTTTAAATAAAAAAGGTAATGATTGCGACAAAAAAAACGAATAATAAATATAAAAGTGACGGGCAAACGGGACAAAGAAGGTGATGGAAAATATTTGTGTTGATTATACAATTTGTTTAAACAGGCTGTAAATATAAAAAAAAGTTGGGAATAATAAAGCTTGTGAGGGAATTGTGAAAGAGAAATTTAAATAATTAATTAATTGATTTTTATAAAAATTAATTAAAATTAAATTATTATTTATTGAAAAAAATATTTTTTTCTGAATTTTTAAATTTATTTATTAAATATTATTATGTTTATTTATTTAACTAATTTTTAATAGATTCTGAAAAATATGTAAATGAACCCCGAAAAAATTCCCTTATTTTTAATAATTTTTATTCTTCCAAGAAAAAAACAAATAAATAATATATTCAACAAAGTAACTGAAAAAAGTATTTAAAATTTAATAAGAAATAAAACTTTTTCTTAATAAAATAAAAATTAAAATAATTTATTTTAAATCCATAATTTTTAAATAAAAATTAAATAAAAATATTTATATTTGATTAAAATAAAAATTTTAAAGATATTTAAACTTTGCTAAAATTTGTTTATGTAGAAAAAAATTTATACTGTCAACGTCATCCATTCCCCCACAAAATTTTTTTAACAAATAAAATCATTTTGTTGAATCATTAAAAAAATTTTTTTATTAAAATAATTAAATAAATATTTTCTTAAAAAATAATTAAACTAACAAAATTTATATTTAAAAATGATTTGTTATTGCACTTAAAACTTTTTTAATCCAATTGTTTTAAATGAAATTTAATATAAAAATTCTTCGATAGACAAAATAAGTGTTCAATAAATAAATACATACAAATAATTTTATGTCGAGAAATAATTTTTTAAAATTAAAAGAAAAAAGATTTTTTTAATTATGGCGAGCCTGATATAACCGTAGTTCCCCAACAATTTTTAAATTAAAATTATTTTTAATAATTTTTTTATTAAAAATCAAAGTATTTATTTATATGTACAATAAGAAAAAAGAATTTTCAATTAAAAATTTATTTATTTAATAATTTTTTAAGAAAATCTAATTTTTGTTGATTCCTTTCAATTTCCCGTTTCTGTCTCTGTCCAGACTGTACTCGCAATCTTTCAATCATTTCCATCGTAAAACGTTTAGAACACCTTTAATTTAATTATTTCTTTTAAATATTTAAATTAATTATTTACTTTTTATTTTTAATTAATTCATTTGTGCATCTTTTATTAAACTTTAAACGATTTTCTAAGCTTCGTCTACGCCTTCTTCCATAAATAGCTCCACCATAACATCCAAATGAATTATATGAACAACAACAGGGAATGGCTAACATTGGTGTACAACAACCTTTTTATATAAAATTTTTGAAAATTAATTTCAAACCTACCACAACAACAGTCACAACAACAATCACAGCAACACCCACAATCCCCTCCATAAAAAGCATTACAAACTATAATCAAACAAATAAATATAAAAATAATTTTAATTAATATTTTTGAATTTAATATATTCATTTATTAGAATATATTTAAAAATTCTAATTAATTATTAATATTTTTATGAAAAATGAATTGTGTTATAGAACACATTAATTTACCTAAATATATATTTATTTGAATGGTCATTAAATAAATATTATTTAAAACTAGAATATGAATGAGAAAACAAAAGTTAATGGCCAACCTGAAAGAATATTTAGTATGAGCCAGTCCTTCCTTTTATTTAAAAGAAAAAACGTTGAAAAGAAAAAATAAACTAGTAAATAATTATTTAGAGAACAATTAAATTAATAAACAAAAAAATCTAGATTAATCAAACAAAGATTCTCTCTTTTTTTCTTTAATGTTGCAAGTAAATAAAACAAAGAAAAGATGTTTTCTATTCAAAATCTAATTAACACTCCAAAAATATTTTAATTAACCTCAAATTTATTTATTTTAATGGAATTTGTATTAAATGCAATTTAATAAAGATAGTAATAGTTTATTTATAAAGAAATGTTTTTTAAAAAAATATTTGAACATAATTTACTTTTTTTCATTTCTTTATAAAAATTCCGATATTATTATAACTCATTTTCAATTTTCCCTTTCAATTAATTTATTTAATTTGGCGTGTCAATCCATACGGTGTCATTCCCTTCTGTGAGGCACATTTATTTGTTCCATACTGAAGCGGAATAACTGCCTCACTTTGACGTATTACATCCGGAGCGAATTTTCGAGGCTGATTTTGTGCCATTTTAACAACCCACGGTGGAAATTGAATATTTGAAAGTGAATGTAAAGCACCTGACTGGCTTTTGCTTTGTGCCTGAAATTTGTAAAATTATTTAGTAAAGGGTTATTAAAAACATACAACTGCAGCTAATGACCGAAGACATTCAATTACTTTATAGCATTGTTTGTTTTCATACCTAGAAATTTAAAAGAATGTTTTTAAATAAAATTTTTCTCACAAATCAACTGTCTGAAAACAGGATATCTCAGCAACTCCAAAAGCTTTACAAGCATCCAAAAAATTTGAAATATTTTCCATCTGAAATAATTTTTTGAATTAATTTTTAAAAATAAATTTTGAATTATCTTGGTTAAAGTGTATTTTGTTTGTTAATTAATATTTAATTAATTATAAAGCTTAATTACCTTATGAAAAGGCATCCGTGGATTTTTATGGAATTTTATAACTGAACAACCAGGCGAATCCACAAGACGATTCATAAGTCTTTAAATTATTTAAAAATTATTTTTGAAAATTATTTTACAAGCAAAGAATTAGTCCATCCTTTAGAACTTCAGAAACTTGTAAAGAAGTAGTTATTTGCTCTATCGGGGGATTAAGAGGTATTCCAATCATATCCTCTATCCATTGAAGAACTTCTAAAGCTTCTTCTAAATTGAAACGTGCTTGATTCTTTAAAATAAAAATAAATATTTAAATAAAACTCGTAAACTGATTAATAATTATCGAGTAATCAAATAGAACCTTTCGTTCCAATTCTCTGCTCAAACCATAGCAAGGACCATGATTAGCCATTATTTAAAGTTTTTTCGGATTTAAATATTTAATATATCAATGAAGAAAATGCTTAAAAATTATTAATTAATTAATTATTTTTAATGAAAAGAAATTTTAACAAAAGCAAGTTTGGAGAAATGACAAATAAAAACTTCAAATAAAATGTTATTATTGTGTTTAACTAACATTTTTAGATAGATACAAATTAGCCAATTCAAAATAAAGAATGCTTTTTGAATCATCAGACATAAAAAGCGACAAAAAATAAAATAAAAAAAGGAAAATTTATTTTTATTTTTTCACTTAGATCGATTGTTGATGACACATTAAATTTAAATTCTTATTTAAAAATTGAATTTCCAGAGTTTGGTAAAATTCTAAGTAAAAAGAAATATAAAAATATTCTTTCATGAGCAAAAAAGCATTTTTTAAGTTTAATAAGCCACCTTATTTCTAATTTTAAAAAACAATTCTAAAAATTAGAAGAAGCAATTATATGTAATTAAATCTAAAATTAGAATAACGAAAATTGGAAAGAAAAATTAATATTTTTTAAATTTATTTTTCTACTTTATTATTTATTAAACTTATTTTTATTTGGATCATTTTCTTTTCCTATTTTAGTATGATAGAATTAAACCTGTTTGTTGATTATTTTTATAGTTACTTTACTATAATTATTTTCGTAGAAAAGTTTTGATGGAATTTAATAAAGTTAATTAAAAGTTTTATTTTATACATATTTAATTAATAAAAATTAAATTTAACTCTAAATACTTTCGGGTATACCTAAATTTATTATACAAACGCTTGTTGATATAATAATTAAATTCTCAGATAATAAAATTTTGAATAAAATGTATATGAATTAATATGTAAAAATTAATTATTTTGGAACGTAAAAAATTTATTATACGTAAAAATGGCTCTTTATTTAATTATTTTTTTTATCAAATTTTAGGTTTTTCGTTTAGGTTTCAGTTCGGTTAAACCGGAAAACAAAATCAGTTCAGTTACTCTAGTTAGAACTTATTTTGGTTCAGTTCGCCTACTGCATAGCCTTAGGAATTAAATAGCTATATGCTTTACATTTGTAAAAAAATGATCAGTCATTTCTTCCTTGCATAATTTAAAAAATTTCCCTGTAGTCACATTTATTCAGAAACAAGCAACTAAAAACAAAAAAGATTCCTGAATTGAAGGAAGATATGTAACTTAATGATGTGACTACAGGGGAATTTCATAAAATTAATCAAGGAAAAAATGTCTGACCATTTCGTACAAAAAGTAAAAAGCGGACTGGGGGAAGCTCTGGTAAAAATTCGCTTAATTTTAGAATTTTCTAAAAAATACAGCAAAAATGATGACGATTTAGGAAATTTAGGTTTTATTTTTCATTGTCTGTACACGATTGAAGTGCTACGTAAATCCTATACATAAATAAATTCAAAGAGGGCTTGTTAAAATATTTTCTGCCTCCCACATTTTTAAGTAATAAGGCGCCATTAATTATGCAGACGAAACCATTGTATGTATGTGAATGAATGATCAAAATAAAGATGGGGAGATCATCCAGTTTTGGGAAAATATACAAAAGAAATAATTTAATTTCTCTTCGTATTTGCTGACCATATAAATAGATATATAAGGAATTAAAGAAGGAATGAGTAAATAGATAGACAAAATTAAGGTTAATCCAAAAATAGTGTAAATAAAAAAATTTTTTAAATCACTTTTACTAAATATTAAAAAGTTCTTTAAATGTCTACGATTTTTCTCTTTTTAGTATATTTATCAAATACTTGAGAATAATTTTTAATTGAAAAAATGTATCAAAATTTACATTAAAATATTAAAAAATATCATCCAGTCATGGAAACTTATTTAATATCTTTGCATTTTGTTTTTATAATTTATCGGCGGTGTCGAAATTCGATCCATACCTCCCATAGTACGTAGTCTATAATAATTCACATGTTTTTTATCATTTTAAATTAAAATTACCCAGAAGGTGAAGCTCGAAATGCTGATTGTACTGGAACTATTTTATTCCTTACCCCAACAGTTTCAGCTCCAATAACGCCACTAGAATGCTCCATTCCAATACGAAGTGCATGAGAATAAGTCATACAAAAAATAAATACTTCTATTGAACTCATAAACTCTGATAATGGACCGGTTCCCATTGAAGAGCCTGCGCCGAATATCTTCAAAAAAATTTAAAAAATTATTAGTGTTTTCATCTCAATAATTTTCGATAAATAAAAGATTTACCATTTCCCATAAAAATGGGCCAAAATGAGGTAAAAATGAAAGGAAAAATTCACTGAGAATTGCTGAAGATGTAAGAAGATTATTCTATAATTTAAAATAATTTAAGAAAATTAAAAAACAATTAATTACCGCTTTATTTGTTCGTAAAAAGTGTTTATAACCGGCTGAATTTTTTACTTGGCTAGCTTGTTTAAGTAAAAGTTGGTTTGTACGACAAAGTAGGTAAAAGAAAATAATTCCAGAACCTATATTAAAAATAGCACAAAATGCTCTCCAACCCAAATAAAATTGAACTGCTGAATCCAAAATGCAACCAAAAATTTCACATTCTAAATATTTAAATAAAAATTACAAATATTCTTATAAATTCTAGCATAATCATAAGCTTTTCTTGTCTGTCAAGGACCGGTCCTCATTTTATAAAAGAGAACAAATACCCAAAATGAAGTAAAAGTATGAAGGTATGGCCATATAGTTTTCGGGATTATACCGAAAACTGTTTTAGGAGTTCTACCTGTATATTCGGGTAAAGGAAGCGCCGTGAGAAACCCTGCCGTGTTAACACAAACACAAACAATAAGAGAGGAGAAATATCCAATTTTAAATGTTTGTTTAACATTAAATCCATAATTGGCTCCAAATTTAATAATACATATTCGATCAACGGTCAAGAAAAATAATGTTACTGGAAGCATTGCCATGAACAAATGACAGGGTAATGCAATAAGAAAAAGTGGAAGACTTGCGTGTTTAACATCTAAATATTTTTTAGTTGAAGTTAAAAATTTTTATTTGGGAAGGCTTGGGTCCTGGGACATTCAGCATGGATTCAATTCGTAGTAATCCTCCTTTCTGAAGGGTTATTTTTTCCCATTTATGTACCTGGCTGTGGCCTCCAAACAATAGCACTATATACTTCATAAGGTATTAAAAGACTAGAAGTAATTAACCAATTAATGAGTAGGGCCATAAAATAAAGAGAAAAAGCCTTTTGACTTTGAAATTTTGTGTATAAAAGCATCACAATTCGATAAACACAAATTGAATGGAAAACTATGGCTAAGACAAATTCTGTCAAAACCAAATAAGAACCAGACATTTTTTGTTAGTTTGAGGTAAAAACGGGAGATAATATAGGAAATTATCTGAAAAAAATTAAAAATATTTAATTTTTAAATATAAAATAATGGTAAGAAATTAAGAAATAAAATAATAAAAATAAAAAGGTTGACGAAAATAGAAAAACAAATTAAAAATAATAATAGTTTTTATATTTATATGTATATTTAAATAACCCTTGAAAATTAAATATTAGATTAAACATAAATAACGAACAATAAAAAAGTTGATATACATATTACAAAAAGCTTTAATGAATTGTAAATTAAATTGGTTAACTACATATATACGTAAACTAATTTTAAAAGAAATAAATTTTTATTTTAAATAATTTAATTTAAAATATTAAAAAAAATTAAATTTTTTTATTTAATTTTACCAAAATTAAAATTCTAAAATTCTGTTATAAATTTTATTTAAAAATCCAAAAAATTATAGTCAAAACTATAAAACTTAAAATAAAACTACAAAAATAAATTTCTAATAAAAATTTTTAGACAAAGATTTTTTAAATAATATTTTAGTTCCTTGCCAATTGCGTGTACATATAGGAGAGTGAGTGGTTTTCTGGTGGATGGTTTGCAGGGGCCGATCGGAAATAACAAGGGTGTCGGAAGCGCAACTGTCTGAACTTGGAAATGGCTCAAAAGTAAAAACTGTAAATTGGAAATCATCGCATCGGATTTTTTCAAAATTTTGGAAATCGGAACTCGGAATTTCGATCGACTTTTGATGCTTGGAGAAATGGATATTATATTCAACAGCGTTCTTAATCTATGTAGTTTATATTATTAAATTATTAAAATTCTCCTTTCCTTCACAGATCTAATATGTAGAGTTTATTTAATAAAAATTTTTTCAGCGAATATGACATTTGCACCCGAAAGTTTAATTTTAATTTTATTTAAATAAAGCAATTCTAAAATAATTTATATTTAATAATTCCAAGTAAATATAATAATTCTAAAATTTTATTAACATTTTACTTTACAAAGAAGAAATAAAATTTATTAAAAAAACTTTGAAATTTAATTTAAATTTCTAGTTCAAAATTTAAAATAAAAAATAATTCAAGCAATAAAACTCGTATAAAATAAAATAAAAAAAGAAAATATCTTTAAAAAATAATTATTGAAAGTAAATTAATTTAATTTAGAAAATTAGATTTTAAAAGAAAAAATATTTATTTTAAGATTGCGGGGGTTATAATTTTATTTTGATAATTATTTTTATTTATTTAGATAATAAAATTTATATACCTATAAGGATATCCTTCAAAAATAAATATATTTAATTTATAAGAAATTAAAAATTAATTAATTTTTTGTAAAAATTAAAATTTGGATTTTAATAAGGTTTTTAATTAATAATTTCTAAGCTAAGTTTTTTGGCTTAATTAAATATTTTTTTAAAATAAAATTATTTTTTCAATATTTTTTCTCTATTTCTCAAATGTAAGAGCGTCATAATATTATTTGACAGAAATATTTTTTTTGTTTTTAGAAAAAATAAAAATTCCATAAATAAATATATTATAAATATTCCTTTTAAATTAGAAAATTTTTTTTGCAATTTTTTCTATTAAAAGTTTCGTTTTCTGTAAATATTTAAAAGTATTTATTATACATATTTATGTAGTTATTTTTTTTTAATTTAATAAAAATAAATTAAAAATGAAATTAAATATTTATTTAATAATTTTTATTTTTCTAATTGTTTTGATAAATAAAAGAGAATCTGCTAAAATTAAACAAAAAAATTCCCAATTAAAAAATAATTTAACTTTGGCCGAATTAAGCAATAAATTTCTCGTTGATAAAATATTAGAAGAAAAATTAAGAAGCACAAACCAAAATTTTGGTAATTTAAGTAGAAGTTTATTGGATAACAAGGTTTGTTTTGAACAAATAATGTAATTTTACCTTCAAATATTTAATAACTAAATAGATACCTATATTTAAATTTCAATGCCCCGAAATAAAAAATTATTTGTAGTATATTTTATGAATAGTTAAATTAACTTTAAATTTACTCTGTAAGTGAAAGTCAGCATTTTTTTTTGGTTGTCACAAAAAAGGCATTTAGAAAATTCAGACTCTTGAGAATTTAATAATTATTGTAGTTTTATTAATAATTTTATAAATTTTAACCGTCGGGTATCATCGGCAACTAAAATTACTAAATATTTCTACTAAACTTTTGACATATAAACTGTCTCGAGTCTTGATCTTCGAATGTAGTCTTAGCCTTAAGTCTTTTAAAATTTTCCTTCTTGGAAATCTAAATACTACATATATTTTATAGACTATTTAGGAAAGACATTTTTAAATAAAAATGAATTATTTAAAATAAAAATATTTGCATATTTATTAAATTAAATATTTAATTCCACATATATTTACCTAATTCTGATATATTTCCGCCTAATCTGCTTAAAATTGTATTTTATTTTTTTAATATTAGGCAACAAGAATATTTTCTATTATTAAATAAAAATTTTTTTGTCCAATTTACAGTCACCAACTAAAAATAATTTTTTTCATATTTCTTCAAAAATTTCAGAAAATAATTTTCTTAGGTAGTGGAAACATATAAAGACAATTTTATCCGACTTAAAATATTCCCGTTAGCAGCGGCTGCCTATGGTTCTGACAAGAATATTAATGATTGCCTTTTACAAATATATCCAGATTTTCAAGTAATTATTTATTATTTAAGAAAGAATACCTAATTTTTAGTTTGTCAAGAATTGGGTAGTTACATGCCAAAAGAAAGATCATTTCTGTTCAGCTTTTATTGCTGTTTCTTTTACTGATAAAGCAATTGTTGTTTCATTTAGGTTGAAACATTTTTCTAAAATTATTTTAAATATAAAAAATAATATTTTAAGAGGTACAGACTCGTTCTGGCAATTAACACACGAAGTTTGGCAGACAATATTTAGAAAAAAAGTTCCGTCTGTTTTTGGATATGGACATGTTAGTAATTAAAGCAAGAACTTTAAATTTAGATCCCATCTTTTGATTAAATGGTGATAAAGATAAAGGAAAAGATAATATGTCCTACGAATTAGAGCTTATTCGCTTTATTTGGTTTTGGCTTTTGTGTTTAAATTAAATTTGTATTTCTTAATAATCTTTTAATTTTTTAAGGTAGCCTTTTATTTTGATGATATTTTTAATCAATTGGATAAGAAAGGCGTGACAGAAGAGATCCATTATCTACTTAGACAACATAAGCATTATGAAGTTTGGGTATTTGTAACTTTATTTTGAAAAATAAATATTAAAAAAAGATAACTGGACATTCTTTGGGTGGAGCATTGGCAGCAATAGCTGCAGCAAAATTAATTCAAAGTAAGGAAATCGGCCCTGATAAAATAAAGCTTGTAACCTTTGGCCAACCGCGTACTGGTGATAGTGGATTTGCTGCTGGTATGAGTAAAAATGTAAAATTTGAAATATTTTTTTCAAAAAATTTTTAATTAAAGTTGCCTTTCTTCAATTATCGAGTAACTAGAGCTCGAGATTTAGTTGTGCATGTACCTCCACGAACTTATGAAGATTATGCACATTATAAAACTGAAGTTATAATATAATAATTAATTAAAATATTTATTAAAGCTTCAGATTTTTTATGATAATGAAATGAAACCGGGTGCTAAATGGAAACGATGTGTTGGAGGAGATGAAGATAAAGATTGTGCAAATAGATATGGGCATGTTCTCTTCCTAATTTTTCTATTATAATTTATTTCTAGTATCTATACAATATCTGATCACACAAAATATTTTGATAAGGATGTATCAGCATACGGTTTGAGTGGATGCTATGGTGGTTGAATCTATTGAAAAGGAAAAAACTACTATTGGATAATCTTAATATTTTAAATTAAATAGTTGTTATTATTGGATTATAACTATTTATTGGATTATACATAATTTCAGCAACTCTAATTTGCTTCAAGTAATTGTATGCTGTTAAGAGCCTAAGCTGTTAAATTTCAGCAATATTTTTTACAACCCGACCCAGAAATAGATTCCATTAGAGACCTAATGACTCAGATTTTTTGACTAGGAAATCTCTTTCGCCGAAGACTATAAAAGTTTAGAAAATAAACTTAATTCCATTCTATCAATCCAAAATCAAACTTTTCCAACTTTTCTACACAAACTACTATTCTCATAATGGGCATCTATGCAGTATGTTTTTTTGTAATATTCTAGCTTAAATTAATTATTTTATTCTCCAGATTTCCAAAATTGTTGCTGGTGCTGGCGTCCTACTCAGTCTTGTGCCCGGTTTGAATATTGTTGGTTCTGTCTACTACGCGCTCGTCTTTTTGGTTCTTCGTAAACGAAATAAAGGGGCTCTCAATACTTGTATTTTCTACATGGTGATGAATTTGTTAAAATATTAAATAAAATTTTCAAATACTAGGTGCCGATCTTTATTGCCTACACTCTCTTCATAAGCAGTATTATTGGCTTCCGTGTTGTCGAACCGTACAAGAATCTCTGGAAGGATGATAACGATGCATTAGAAGTCCCAGAACATTCGACAGAAGACGTCGCGGAAAAGAATGCAACCACCAGGCCTAAACGAGAGTCGGAGGTAGTGCCGGGAACTTGTACACTTCAAGACGTTCCATTTGTGAAGAAGCTTCCTAAAAAATGGGATAAAGGTACTGATCTTGCTCGAATTATTAATATCTATTTAATTATTTAATTTCTAGTAAAAGTGTTCAAAATTGCTTGGCTTGTAGGTGTTGGCACTGGAGGCTTCAATATTTTCTATTTGTTCGTTTCCAATATTGTGTTTTTCTTCGCATATAATTTTCTGAAGAAAACGCAATAATCTAGATAATATGTAATTTAAGTTGTCTATGAGGAAAGAAAGGGACACGCCCAAAACGGCGCGCGGCCATAACGGCGCAAAGCCCTAGCTTGCTTCAGGATTTACGAATTTTATCAAATTCAGTATTAAACGATTCCGCTCAGCAAGCTAAAGAGATTGGTACGAAAATTAAGCAGGGATAGAAATTTTCCAGCAAGTTATGGCTTTGCGCCGTTATGGCCGCGCGCCGTTTTGGGCTGTACCCGGAAAGAAAATATAAAGTGTTGAATATGTAAAGGATAACAAATTATATATTGTAATTAATTGTAACTATATTTAGTAATTGTTGATTGTATGTATATGTAATCTGTAATTGAGTTTTGGATAAAATTAAATGTAGCACCTATTTAGTAATTATTCAAGTAATTTTAAAATGAAAGACTTGAGCTTTCTATCATTAAAAATATTACTTCTGATTAACAAATATTTAAAAATAAATTTTGTTTAATATTTATGTGAAATTCTTGTAATAACTTGCTAGACTAGTTTTTATAATTTTGTATGAACTTTTATTTTATAAAATTAACTTTTAAAAAAGAAAATTCACAAATTAAATAAAATTTAAATTTTAATGAAAAACTTGACTGACTACTAGTTATTTGAATTTTCTTTTTATCACTGCCAATCAGTTTATTTTATATGAGAGATAGCGACGTTTATTTGCGTCAGATATTTATGTTCTTTTGCTCTCTGAAAAATTAAGGTAATTTATTTACACATTCTCGTCTCTTTTTTAAAATTTTTTTTTAAATTTTATGACAAAGAACAGTAAAAATAAATTATTTTATTTTAATTTTATTAATTTTATTAATCAAAACTGTGAACAAAAAAACTTTTGTGAATGCAACTCTATTATTTTTATTTTTCTCTTATTTAAAAAATATTTTTATTGAATAAACATTCAAAATTTAACATTTAATTTTTTTCTTTGTTAAATTTAATGTTCATTAATTAATTATCAATTAAAAATAAACAATAAATAATTTGTCGCAGAAAAGAAAAATACAAATTTCATTCCTTCCCCAAAGAATATTTTAAAATTAATAAATATTCTAATCTCTTAATCAATTTAATTTGACATTGAAAATTATTTTTATTAAGTAAAATATTATTATTTAATTGTTTAGAAAATTGTTTTTTTTTCTGCAAAGAAATATTTTTTTAAATAATAAAAAAAATCGTAATAAATTTCATTTCCAATTAATTTTTTATGCTACATATGTGAGCATTTTATATTTCCTTAAAGAAGTCTGTACTTTTATTTGTCCATGCTAATTAGAAAAAAAATAATATCTTTATATTTTCATTTAATTTTTCAAAATATTTTTAAAGATATTAAAATTATTTTATTATAATTAAATTAAAAAATATGCCTAATCAAAAGCAAATGGAAAATGGATTGTCTCCCCCATTAATTGAGAATGGTTATTGTAATAATTCATTAGAAAAAATCCAAAAACAAAAAAGAAAGAGAACACCGAGGGAATGGTTTAAAAAATATTTTTGGGAAGGTAAAAATAAATTAAATTAATTAAAAATAAATTACTAAAAAAAGGTCAAAAACTTCATGGAATTAGTGAAGAAGAAAAACAAATACCTCTTCCTTCTAATGCCACTTTTGAGCAAAAAATGCTTATAAAATACAAAAACTTTATTGCTTTACTTATTCCTTTTAGTGTTGCACAAGTTTTTTTTAAAATTATTTTTTTAATTTTAAAATTAAAAAAAGTTTATTTGGTGGAGTTCTGCAATTAAATACAACTTTTTTTCTCTTTATTCAACACGTAAGTGTTGAATAAATTTATTTTAAAAAATTTATTTAAAGATTGGCAAATGCCATTAACAATGGTTGTTGGTTCTATTATTGCAGGAATGACTAGTGAAGGTGGTGGGGCTGTTGCCTTCCCTGTAATTTAATTTTGATTTTAATTAAATTTATTGTCCATTAAAAAGGTGATGATTTTCATTCTGCACACAAAACCTCACACAGCACGCGATTTTAGTATTATGATTCAAGCAGTCTGTTTAAAATTTAATAAATTATTTAAATTTATTTTTAAATAGATTGGAATGACAATGGCATTTTTTGTTATTATTTTTATGAGAATTCAAATTGAGTGGAGGGCTATTATATTTGGAACTATTGGGGCTATACCTGGGGCTTTAATTGGATTTACTTTAGTTTGATATTTTAATTTTTTAATAAAATTTTGTTATATTTATTTCGAAAAACATTAGGTTTTTCAATATTTCTAAATAAATTGAATGACTAATATAGTAATTTACCTATATAGTAATTATTCCCTGATTAAGAAACGTTAAGTTTGTTACAATTCCTATAGACTTCCTTTGTGATAAACTAAATGAATATACAAATTATCGTCCCTGATTAATGTTTTTTACTAACAAATTCCTTCTTTTATTTTCCCAATAATTAAAAATAAATTATTATAATTTTTTAGATTGAACCTTTATTTAATCCCCAAACTGAAAAAATGCTTTTTGTGAGTATTTGGTCTTCATTTGCCATTTCTCTATGGATTTTAAATTGTGAAAAGAAAAGGAAAACTTTCAATACAATTGAAAATTTTTGTTTTTGGAAATGCATTATACTTATTTTGACTGGATTTATTGGCGGTATTTTAAATTTTACTGTACCTAATTTTTCTCGTTTTTATGTGTCTTTACATCTTTTGCTGGAAGCGGCGTTGATATTTGTACATTCTCAACTTTAACACTTCTTTTTAGTGTTTCTGAGAAAATAGCTACTCCAACTACCGTTGTTATTATGGGTAAACTTAAATTAAAATTAAAAAAATTTATTTTAAATTTTAATTTCAGCAATAAATTCTCAATTTTGTATTTATTGGCGCGCAATAATTATGAGCGAGCCAATTAGTCAATTAGCCTATAATTATATTAAAGTAAACTTTAATATAATAATTATTTCAAAAATGTTGTTTAAAGGTCACAGTCCCAGTAACAAGTATTTGTGCCCCAATTGGAAGTTTTCTCGGTTCACATTTCCACAGACAGGCTTGACTTTAAATTTTATTAAGTCTTCAAAATATTATTTTTAGACACTTGCCTGGCTTGTATATATTCTTGAATTGGTATTAGTTACTAAATATTCAATAATTAATTTAAAAAATTTATTAGATCTCTTATTTGGGCTTTCTATGTACAGGTCCTCCACTACAATTGGTGAGGAATTTAATTGTTTTCTATTTAAATATTTTCATTAAATAATCCAAAATCTTATCAAAAATAAATAAATTTAAAAAATAAGGTTGTTCCAAGCATTTTGATAATTGCTCTTGGATTTGGCTTCTTTCGACTAATGAGCAATTGTGGCAAACGACTTTTAACTAATAAAAATTTAGAGAATAATCTTAAAGTTGAAAGTGAGAGACTAACAAAAATAACTAAAAAGGCATCAGAAGAAAGAGTAGATATTTGAACTATTTTGTAAAATTTGAAATTATTTTGTAAATTTAAACACTTTAAAAAATAAATCTTTCGTCCTTATCAATGGAAAATTAGGTATATTTGTGATATTGGTGGAGTTTATTTGGTGGAGTTCTGCAATTAAATACAACTTTTTTTCTCTTTATTCAACACGTAAATTTTTGGATAAATTAATTTAAAAAATTTTTATTTAAAGATTGGCAAATGCCATTAACAATGGTTGTTGGTTCTATTATTGCAGGAATGACTAGTGAAGGTGGTGGGGCTGTTGCCTTCCCTGTAATTTAATTTTGATTTTAATTAAATTTATTGTCCATTAAAAAGGTGATGATTTTCATTTTGCACACAAAACCTCACACAGCACGCGATTTTAGTATTATGATTCAAGCAGTCTGTTATAAAATTCAATAAATTATTTAAATTTATTTTTAAATAGATTGGAATGACAATGGCATTTTTTGTTATTATTTTTATGAGAATTCAAATTGAGTGGAGGGCTATTATATTTGGAACTATTGGGGCTATACCTGGGGCTTTAATTGGATTTACTTTAGTTTGATATTTTAATTTTTTAATAAAATTTTGTTATATTTATTTCGAAAAACATTGGGATATTTTTAAATAAATTAAATGACTAGTAATTAATTACCTGTATAGTAATTATTCCATGATTAAAAAACGTTAAGTCTGTTACAATTCCTATAGAATTCCTTTTGTTTCCAAATAATTAAAAATAAGTATAAATCACTTTTTAGATTGAACCTTTATTTAATCCCCAAACTGAGAAAATGCTTTTTGTGAGTATCTGGTCTTCATTTGCCATTTCTCTATGGATTTTAAATTGTGAAAAGAAAAGGAAAACTTTTAATACAATTGAAAATTTTTGTTTTTGGAAATGCATTATACTTATTTTAACTGGATTTATTGGAGGTAGTTAAAATTTTTACTGTCCCTAATTTCTCCTTTTTATGTGTCTTTACATCCTTTGCTGGAAGCGGCGTTGATATTTGTACATTCTCAACTTTAACACTTCTTTTTAGTGTTTCTGAGAAAATAGCTACTCCAACTACTGTTGTTATTATGGGTAAATTAAAATAAAATAAAATTTATTTTAAATTTTAATTTCAGCAATAAATTCTCAATTTTGTATTTATTGGCGAGCAATAATTATGAGCGAGCCAATTAGTCAATTAGCTTATAATTATATTAAAGTAACTTTAATATATAATAATTATTTCAAAAATGTTTTTTAAGGTCACAGTCCCAGTAACAAGTATTTGTGCCCCAATTGGAAGTTTTCTCGGTTCACATTTCCACAGACAGGCTTGATTTTAAATTTTATTAAGCTTTCAAAATATTATTTTTAGACACTTGCCTGGCTTGTATATATTCTTGAATTGGTATTAGTTACTAAATATTTAATCTTTAATTAGAAAAATTTATTAGATCTCTTATTTGGGCTTTTTATTTACTGGTCCTCCATTACAATTGGTAAGGAATTTAATTATTTATATATGTAGGGTTTTTCTCTATTTATTTTCATTAATTAATCCAACATCTATCCTATCAAAAATAAATAAATTTAAAAAATAAGGTTGTGCCAAGCATTTTGATAATCGCTCTTGGATTTGGCTTCTTTCGACTAATGAGCAATTGTGGCAAACGACTTTTAACTAATAAAAATTTGGAGAATAATCTTAAAGTTGAAAGTGAAAGACTAACAAAAATAACTAAAAAAGCATCAGAAGAAAGAGTAGATATTTGAAATATTTTGTAAAATTTGAAATTATTTTGTAAATTTTCTTCCATAAAATATTTCGTCAGTATCAATAAAAAAATTATCAATAGGGAAATTATATATGGGATAGTTAACGTTAATGTTGGGTGCACAAAACCGTTTAGCTCTGATTTTTTTAATATCCGTTTAACACCCCATATCAATCCAAAACCTCTTTTATCGACAGATCTACTGCCGGACCCGAAGCAAATATCTTAGAAAAACATAAATACAATACATTAACTCGTATACAATTTTAAATTTCTTTATCTCCATTTTAAAAAATTGCGAGTTGCGGATTACAGTATGTCAACGGACGTTTTGTCCGGCCATTGATTGTCCAACGACCGTTAGTCCACTGACGCATTGTCCGAACACGTTCACGTTTTGTTAAAATTTTGAATTACTTATAGTGTTTATAATTTTAGCATGAAAGTATTGTTTTTTGATTTATGTAAATTGATTATTTTCTGATTATTTTTTTTCTAATGTTTTATAAATTATTTTTTAATTTAGCACAGAATCCGGCATGCAGCCGGATTCTGAAAATCGTATTTTACAAAATTCTAATATTTTAATTCCTTCAAAGTTTTCAAAAGGACATGTTGACACTACTGAAGAGGACGAGAAAGTGCAATTTCTGATGCAAAATCATGTATGTTTATGTTTGTTTTTGGGTAATGCGTATTTACCTTATTTTTAAGCATGAGCTCTGTGACCTTAGTAAATGTATGGGGAAACGTATTAATGGGCTTTTCATCTGTCAGGTACTTCGGATTCGTAAATTTATTAATTTAATTTTTATGTTTTTTTCAGTTCTCAAACATTCCTGGCTCCCAATATAGTCAATATCTCCGCCATCGACGTCGCCAGAATGCTTACAAGACAAAACCTTGTCGCAATTATTATGGTAATGGTTTCTGCAAGGCGGGCAATGAATGTTCCTTTTATCATGATGTTGGTGAAATGCGCACACTGCCACAAATGGAGATGTCTGACGAGCTGAAGTGGCATCCAATTGACGTTAAAAACTTCTTCCCGCAGGTCAAATAATTTAAAACTAATAAACAGACAAAAATTTTTCTGAGCATTTCCCTCCTAAATTTCATTTTCCTTGATTCCCATGGAGGAGGGCATGCCCACAACACTAGGATAGATATGCCCTTGGTTCTTGGACCTGAGTTTGAAGTTGTAAGTAAGAACCCAAAAATAAACTGAAATGAAAAATCCAAGGGAGATGGGTGAAGACACTTTCCAAATTTGGTAAAATCTAACAGCCTCATTTGGAAATAAGCAATTTCATTCAAATGCCTTTTTCATTTAGTTCAATTTTTTTCTGTTCAAAGTTCTGTTTTTCTAAATTTAATATGTATTTCATTGCAGTTACTAAATGTTACAAATTCTCAATATAATCAACATTTACGAAATCTTCGACGTCAAAATGCCTACAAGACAAAACCTTGTCGCAATTATTATGGCAGAGGTTTCTGTAAGTCTGGTGTTAATTGTTCCTTTTATCATGCTATTGGTGAAATGCGAGTACCGCCTCAGCATGAAATATCTGGAAAAGTGAAGGGATATTCAATTGACGTTAAAGACTTGTTTCCACAGGTTTGATAATTTAATCTTTTTAATGATTTTGATGTTTGGAACATATTGTTAGTTCGGATAAGAAGCATTGAAATTAGTTTAAGGAGTCTTGTTTGTTAAGACAAACTTTATAATCATTAAGCTAGCCGAAATTTAATTAGTTTTTACAAAAAATTTTAAGATTTTTGGAGAATTTCACCGTGACAAAGAAAATCAAGCGCAATTTGGTTCTTCTGCTGCAATGCAATTAGAAATGGAGAGAATTGTTGACCGTCTCATCTCATCACCATTTCGTTCCTTTGAACTGTCCTCTTAAATTATTTTAAGCTTAATAGTATTTCTGTCACTTTAAATGTCTTTAATTTTTTTATAAAATTATTTAATTAATTCTAATTAGGTAAATATTTAAGTCTTTTAAAATTAAAGACATTTTCTAAACAAATTACTAATTTTATATGTATTTGACTTTAATTTTTATATTTTTCATTAATCCCTAAAAGTGTAATTTAATTTCTAATTTATTTACTTTTTCGACTCTATTTGTATTTATAAGACTTTAAAATAAATATCTAAAATTCTAATTACTTGACTTTTTATAGAGGTTCGTTCATGACGATCTTTTTAAAAATATTTTTAAATTTTTTGAAATACTAGATTGAAACATTTTTTGGATTTCATAAGTTTGGGGAAAATTTTTTTTTGGCATATCGTTATTAAATAATTTCGGTTTTGTTAAATTGTTTTTAAAAAAGAATTTTTCAAATGATTTTATTAATTTTAACTTTTTAGATTAATTTAATATACTAACAAATATTAAATACTAACAACAACAATTTTTTAATTTAATTATAATGAACGTCACTAACAAACTCCAAAAACGCCCCTTATCCCTATCCAGCTTCCAACCAAATTATGAAGCTCATCAACCTGTAGAACTTGCTCAATATATTAATCCCGAATCTGAGTAAATCTTTTTTTAAACAATTTTTTAAATTTTAATTTTTAGAAAGGCACATCACGTTCTTCTAGCCCATCATCAACGTGAATGGCGTAATAGCAGACGTTATATAGAAAGTTACAAAACGGTTATGTGCCAAAATTGGTTGGAGAGGGCACAATGCAGTTTTGGAAAAAATTGCCGTTTTGCTCATGGCTTTGACGACTTAAGGACACCAACGTTGTTTTTAATATAATTAATTTTATTTTAAAGTTTTGTTTTTAAGGCTTCCTCTTCCCATCAACGAGAAGTACAAAACTCGTCTTTGTGAAAAATATACAAGTCGTGGAGTTTGCCCTTACGGTAGTCGCTGTTTATTTATTCATCCTGACAACGTCCAAAATAATTTGCAAACAAATTACATCCAAAGCAATTACCTCAACACGACTGATTATTTTGCTAGATCAATGCCTACCTGTCTAATTAAGAAGAAAAACAATAATCTTTTTCCGCAGGTTTTCTTTTAGATAATTAGCTTATTAAGATTGTTTAAATTAAATTTTTGGTTATATTTTTGAAATGAGAAAAAATTCGCGAATTATCGCAATAGAAAAATTGGGGTTGGATTTCTAATTAAATAACATCCAAAAACCGTTTAATTTAATTCTGGTCGATTTCTCAAAGCAGATCAATCAACAGAATCGGAAAAAATTTTCAACTATATTTTCGAATTTTTTAACCTCGTCGGTACATATTTTTCCCTTTTTCACCTTGTTATGCGATATCCTCAATGGAAGTTAACTTTCTTCCATCCTCCTCGAGAATTTCTTTGTTTTTCTAAAATTTCATTTGATGGATTTTCATTATTTTTATTTTAGATTCTTGAAGAACTTAATCGTGAAAAAGAAAACCAACAGCCACGAGCCTCGTCTGATGCAATGCAATTAGAAATGGAGCGCTATGTTGACTGTCTACTCGCATCGCCATTGTGCCTTTAGGTGATCCTTTTTAAGATTCTTAATTTATTCTGTGCCTGTTTTGATTTTTAAATGTCTTTAATTTTTGTATTTTTTAAAATAATTAAATTATTTTATGAAGGGATTCTTTTTGGAAAATATTTACAAAATTAAAGACATTTTTTAGACAAGCCTAATTCTAATTTATTTATTTTTCTCTGTTTATTTGTGACTTTTTTAATTTTTTAATTCGATTAATTTTAATTTCTTTAAATTTTTAATTTATTTTTTTCTAAGATCAGCTTAATTTATTTGTATTTATAAGACTATGAAATAAATATTTGAATACTAGCTTATATTATTTTTATAGATAGTTTATATCACGTTTTAATTTTTTTCAGTTTTTGCATGTTTTTTTTGAAGTTGGTATAACTTTGGAAGAGAAGCCATTTTAACGAAATTAGATAAAAGCAGGCTCGTAACCGGGTTTTTTTCGTGTTATCCCCTGGTTATGGGCCTGAACAAAAGTATTTATAACCTTTGTCCCATCCTTTGGAAGTTCATTCATGTATTAGTCACTCCTAGATAGCTTATACTCTACCAATAATTTTGCAGAAACTTTATTCAAAACAGTAACATCGTTTAGAGAAATTTCAAAGCTTTCGTACAATTTTGGTTTAGTTTGATAAATAAATGTTAGTAAATATGCGTGTAAATACTTTTATTAAAGTGCAAAAACTACAAAAAAACAATTTAGAAATGCGATATAATACAAAAATAATTTTTGCAAATGCAAAATAATAAAAAAAATTTGCATCACGTCAGCCAATACTTATCTTTTTAGTAACGCTTTTTTTGTTAAATTTTTCTGTCTCCAACAAGATTTACATTTTTAACACTCATTAATATTACAATTTTTTTATCATTTTCTCTTCATTGTCACCTGCCACTGTCAAAATATTTGTTTAGGATAATCCGAAGACTTGATATTACAAAATATTACCAAAAATTGCTACGTGGAAAATATGCTGCTTTTTGTTGAGCAAAAATTCTATAGCGCACAAAGTATCACTAGAAAATTATGTACGATTTGTACTGAAAATTCGTCATTTTATTGGAAATCGTCATCGGGTTTTTTTGAGTTTATCGAAATATCGTGCTGCACTGTATATCACTAAGTTATCATCTACCTTGTTAGTTTCTTATCCGCTATAAAGTTTCTATAGGAGGTTGAGACGTTAAATTGAATTTTGATTTGCTAAAATGAGTTTGAATTAAAATATTAAATTCGAAAAAAAATATATTTCGAAGTTTATCGTTATCTCACTAACGTAAATAATCTTATTTTTATTAGTTCTTTCGTAAATCGCTCAATATCTGTATCCAATGTGCGGGACAGACAATTTGCTAGACCTGAGACATCTATCCCAAGACCTAAAACCCCCACCCCCCCCCCCTCTCCAACGAAAGTCTTGATTTCAAGACCATTTCTTTATTTTTATCTAAAAATTATTTTTTATTGTTCACATTTTTTCACTTTTACAAATTTATTTTTAAAAATAAAATAAATATACATCATAAATGTTACAAGGTGACACTTTAAAAATATTCAAAATCATTCATTATATTTTAACTTTTTTTATTAATAGCTTCATTGAGGACGATTAATTTTTAATGGGGGAAAGGTATACAGCCAATATTAAAAAATATTTATTTTTTGTAAATATTTGAGGGAATCCCTAATAAAAATTTTTGGGGGAACACTTAATATGTTGTCTATAACACACAAATTTCATCATTTTATGCAATATTATTTATTATAAAAAATCCACGCAGGAATGGCAAAAAGTTGGGGAAACCCCCAAAATTTTTCAACGATCTCTGACCGAGAATTATTTCTAAAAAATTTAATAAGTTATTTGCCCAACACAACCAATCACTCGAGTGATGGTTTAAATTTGCATTTATTTAAGAGAAAGTAAAGACTAACAATTGAGGCATTTTCCAGAATAAATTTAACTAGTAAATATAAATATATATATTCGAGAACAAACTTCATTTTATATATTCATTTTAGAAAATTATTTTGTAATATAAATATTTATTTATTGAATTATTAGTTTTGCTAAAATAAATTACAAATTCTTTTTAATAATTTATTTTTCCTAAAATTTTTTAAAAAATTAAATTTCTTCTAACATTTTTTAAAAATTTTTAAAAAATTTTATGATTTTTAATAAAAGAATACCTTACCTATTTTAAAGTATTTTATTTTCTGTTAAATACATATTTTTAACAATTATTTTAGAAATTACTTAAAAACTAGAAATAATTATTAAATTAGTTATCTTAATTGTTTTTAAATAAATTATTTGTCAAAAATCTAAATTATTTTTTCCTTTAAATCTTGAATGGTTTTTTCAGTTTGAATTTTGACAAATTTTTTAATTCAATTTCTGTTTACTTTTGACAATTTTTAATTACAAAACATGTCTAATATTTGCATATTTGGGTGCTTATTTTCTTCTTATCTTCTCTATTTTCATTATTATTAATTCATGTGTTTTTCATTTTCCTTAATTGATTTATACCATTTCTCCATAAATTAATGCTAAGGTTTAATAAAAACAAATTTTTATTTGTCCTAAGGAAGTTGAGAATAATCCAATAACTTCTGAACCGGCTGACAATTAATGTTAATAACTTTACTAATAATTCAACTCACCTCGACGAGTTCTTTTAAATTCATATTAAAATTTCTGTAATTCTAAACGAAGTATGATGGAGTTTGGCAATAATTTAGGGGATCTAAGTGCTTTTGTAACGAAAAAGTTTATTAGATTAAAGTTATTAGACTTTTATTAGATTTTTTTAGAAATTTATTTAAAATTTATACAGTAACCCTTTATTATTTAGCTAAATTTAAACATTTTTGTATTCATTGATCATTGTATCTAGCTGTTATTTTGGCTAAAGGTCAAATATGCAGTACATTAATTCCTCATTCTTCGTGCCTTCATTTAATATTTTTCTCCAATCTATATTTAGTATATGTATGTAGTAGTTTATTAATATTGAATATATTTACATGTACTTCTACATAGTATTTTTTACACAAATACATATGCTTAAATAAATGAGTTGTTTAATTAAAATATGTACTAAATTAATCAGCTAACGTTTTTTTTCGTTTTAGAATTTTTATTAAAGACTTTATTTAGTCAAATTTTAGTCGAAATTTTTATTTTTTTAAATTATATTTAATTTAGAATTTCAAAATTAAGTTAAGCAATTAAATAAATTTGTATCTTTTTATTTCTTGTTTCGAAAAGTGTTCAAAACTTTTTAATTTTTTTTTGTAAAATTCCCTCTTTTTAATTGAAAAACAAATAGATTTATTTAATTCTTTATTTGTTTTTTATTAAATCTTATTAAAATAAAAACAAATAAAGCTATTAAACGGAAAATTAATTAAAGAACAATGTTTATTTGAAGAATTTTAAATTTTAAATGAATAAATGAAACTTAATTTTTTGTAGAAAAACTGTTTTAATCTTTCATTTATTTATTTTCACATCATTAATATTCTGAGAATAAAAATATTTAATATAAATTAAAAGCAATCTTTATTGTAATAAGAAAAAGTAGCAAATGACTAAAAAATATTAACTTGATCCAGATATCTTTCAATTTTAAAAATCAATACATATTTATTATTAAAAATATCTAAAAAAAATATTTATTTTTCTCGTTTTTAAAAATTATTTTTTTTAATAAAAGTACAATTTTTCTTTGTATTTCTGTAGATACTCAAAAATAAGAATCCAAAATTTTTTTAATTTTTTAAATAATATTGTGCCTCTCTCCAAACCGTTTTTCCAAATTTATGTTAAAATCATTGTCAGTTACCTACAACATTTTTTTTATCTTTTTCTCCTACCAGAATTATTTAAATAAAACGAATTTTTAATTTAAATTTTTCAGAGACATTTAAAAATAAAATGTCCATTCACAGCTCTACAAATTCACCAATTTCCCCATCTATTAACGACAAAAATGACAACGACATTATTGTTCCCCCAGCTTCTGAATTTTCGCCTTCTCCTACAAAGATGGCCCACTACACCTTTCCTTCCTCACCAGATTGTGCTCTAGATTTATTTCAACAGCAAAAACCTTTAGCTAAACAAAAACAAACAATTATGGAAATTATTTTCCCAATTCGTTTTGTTATTTTGGCATTATCTCTTGGATGTCTTTCATTAATTGTTGCTAATTCTTTGGCTCTCAACTTTACTGTTATTTGTATGCACAAAGAATTGCCGTCGTTAATGACTGAGAATGGTGGTGGTGATCTGCATTGGGAATGGACGGTAATTTTGGAGTGAAAGAGAGAGGGAGAGAGAGAAGATAAAAAGAAAGAAATTTTTTTTATAAATTTCTTTAATCTGAGATATTGAAAAGAGTGAACAAAAATGGAAATAAAAATTAAAAAATGTAATTTTGAAGAATATTTCGGTAAAATTCAAGTTCGTTCTCAGCTCCTCCTTTTTCTTCCTCAAAGTATTAAAAAATGGTCAGTTGATTTTTGGTGTCATTCGATACAGCTCGACGAGTTCTGTAACTTAAGAGACTGACTGTTTTTTAATACTTTGAGTAAGAAAAAAAGGAGGGGGGGGGGGGGGGGGGGAACGAACTTGAATTTTACTAATATTTTTTTTGCATTCTTGGTTAGTTTTAAAAAAATTTTTTAGAAATTAACCAAGAATTGCTAATGAATTAATTAAGAATTAATAGAAAATACATAATCTTTCGAAAGATTTTTTAATAAAACAAAATTAAAATTTAAAACAAAAAATTTTTGTGGGGCGTTTTGTGGAGGTGTTTGTTGTTAGCTTTGTGGGTATGTAATACACACCTAATTTTCCTCCTTTTAGAATTAATTTTGAATTTTCTGAGGTTTAGATGAACTCATTTTATTTTTAGTATTTTACATTTTTAAGTTTAGAATTTTAGTTTTTTTGTACATATTTCTTTTCATTTTTTGCTTGAAAATATTTTTGATATTAAATTAATTATTTTCTCAATAGATATTAACAAATACAAACATCTCCTCTAATAATGAAGAAATTAGCAAAGAACAGCAGCTTGAATCAATGTTCACCGTCGACGAGCAAAGTTGGCTTTTTTCAGCAATCGCTATTGGACAATTAATAGGCACTTTGCCAATTACTTATTTTATGACAAATATTGGATTGCGGTAATTTTTGAATTTAAATTTGTAAAAGAATTTTTAAAAATTATTTTTTTTAGAAAAATGTTTACTCTTTATGGACTTACTAGTTCTTTTTCTACACTTTTTATTCCAATAAGTATTGACATTGCTGGATTTCCTGGACTTATGTTTATGCGTATTTTGCAGGGTGTCAGTCTAGCGACAGTTATGGTTGTTACTGGTTTGGAGTTCTTTAATTTAAAAAATTATTTTTGTTTCTTTAGGTGCTGTAAGTGCAGAATGGAGCCCTCTAAGCAGTGCAGGGGTCTTTCTAACAATTTTAACTATAAATTACCAACTTGGCCCAATCACTGCAATGCCTTTGGCGGCAGCTCTGTGTTCTTCAGAAACATTTGGATGGGAATCTATTTATTATTTGTTAGGAATACTTACATTTTTTGGATTTGCTATTTTCTTTTATTTCTTCCGTGACACTCCAAGAGAACAAAAGTAAAAAAATTAAAGAATTTATTTTTTAAATTTCAATTTAAGGCTTGTATCAGTTAGAGAATTGGCAATAATTGAAAAAGGAAAAATAATAGAGAAATGTCAAAAACAGGAAGGTTCTCCAAAAGAAAGAATTCCCTACAAAGCAATTTTCCTGGATCCCGTTTTCTGGGCAATCACTGCTTCAAATGCAACTGCCAATATGGCCTTTCTAGTATTTTGGCAATATGGACCGTTATATTTAAATAAAGTTTTGGGTATAGAAGTAGCTGAAACTGGAATAGCTGCAGCACTTCCCTACATTCTCTCTACTTTTGTTAAACTTATTGCTGCACAAATCAGTGACCGTTTTAATTGTATCTCAGAAAAATGCAAAGTTATTCTTTTTGCCAGCGTTTCTCAAGTAATTAATTTTTTCCTGAAAAAAATTTCTTCGAAAATAATTTTTTTTATAGTATGTTATGTGTTGCTGTTTTTTGGCACTAGCTTTATTACCTAAAATGGGATTTATGAATGTTATATTTATGCAGTGTATGTTTACTGCTTCTACTGTATTTAGCGGTTTGAATGCTGTTGGCGTTGTTAAAAGCACTCATCTTGTAAATTAAAAGAAAATTTGTAAAATAAAAATAATTTAAAAGGTTTCTCGTCAATTCTCTCATGTTCTCTTTTCTTGGGATACTCTAACTCATGCTATTGTTAGTCTGTAAGTTTTAAAAATTGCAAAAAAGTACATTTACTTTAAAGTACATTACCCACTGTACAATTGTCGTGTCACCTTTTTAGGGGAATTTAAAGAGAAAAATTCAGAAAATTCATTATCATTTTGTAAAAAAAAGTGGATGAATTATCAAAATTCTCTTTGACTTTTGTTTTGAGAGACGTGTGGTTGATTGGTTTAGTAGGGGATTCTAGGGATTAGGGGGGTTTACTGGAAAAGGAGAAGCAATGAGAAGAAAATAAAGTCCGCCCCCTAACTTCGTTGTGCAACCCTAATAAAAACAAAAAAATATTTTTTAAATAAACTATCTTATTAAAATCTTTTGTAGTTTACTTCCTTTGGGAATCAACTTTTTGACACCTACACATTCCGTTGATGAGGTAATTTTAATTTTCTATTTTAACTAATAAATTTTTAAAAAATATTTACTTTAGTGGGCCAATGTTTTTTTATTTGTTACTGCTTGTAATATGGTTGGCACAACATTCTTCAATATTTATGCAGAAGTAGAGCCTCGTGAATGGACTAAAGGGCATATTACAAAAACTTCCCTAACTTACCCCGAGTCAATTGGTACTGTCGAGGAAGGCAAAAAGTTTGGATTGCCATTGCCTCAACTTCCTTAAAAATTTTAGAGAAAAATATATTCTCATTTTTCTTCTCAGCTTTCTACAATTTATTAACTCACCAATTCCAAACTTCTTACACACCTAAGTTATACCTTCCTTTTTTCTACTATTTCAATTTCACTTACACAATATTAATTAGACTTTCCGAATTTTTTCTTTTATAGACTGTATATTTAATATTTAAAAAACTTATTATTCCATATGGCCTCCAATTTTATGGAAATTTTTCACTTATACATATTATTGAAGGTACTTTTTAATGACTTTCTTTTAATTTGTCTTTAATGCTTTTGTTTAAATTCTGGGTTTTTTGAATTTATGACATTTTCGGTCGTTTATTATTTTATTGGAGGGATTAATATTTAATTAGATCCTCTTTAGAATCACTAAGTTCTCTCCGATTTAGGAACTGCCAAAAATGGAACCGGGAGAACATTGGAATAAATAAGATTTATTTTAATAATTACTTAAACAAAAGCTTTTTTTAATTTTTATTTAATAACCACATACTGTGACCATCTCATATCTGTCACTTTTTCGACTTTTTAAGCTTTACTTTTATATTACATAATTGTTTTAAATTTAATTATTCAAAAATAATTTAGATTTTTTTCGGAATTTATTAATTTAAATTCGATTTAATCGATTTTTATATTTTTAAAGTTAATTTATTTTAATTATTTTTAAAAAAATCCAGATTAATTGTTGCCATTTATTGCAACAAATATTTTACAGAAATGTCAATTCATAGCTCTCCACCTTCAGTTATTAAAGAAGTTAACAACAAAAATGATAACAACAATCATTCAACATCCCCTTCTCCCCCTCCTTTGCCAGAACAACAAAAACAACAATTTTCATTTCCTCCACATAATTGTGCTATCGATATTGTTAGTAATCAACAAACAATACAAAATTCTGGCAAAAAACGTCAACACAAAAAAATAAACGAATTAATCCCCATCCGTTTTATTATTTTGGGAACAGCTTTATTTTGTTTCACAATGTTAATTGCTAATCCTTTGGCACTTAATTTTACAGTTATTTGTATGTTTAAAGATTTGCCAATGTTAAGTGATGAGGAATTGACGGTGAAATTTTTATTTTGATATTTTAAAATTTAGGTAGTATATATTCTTAACTTTTGAGTGGGAGAAAAGTATCTTTAAATAGGTTGTGGATTGTCTGAATGATTAAATTGTGATATTGTTATGTATCAAGAAAAACTAATGAATTTTGCCTGACGATTCAAAAATAAGGGACAATTTTAATAAAGTGAGGAGGGTAGGGGGGAGGGTTATATTTCATAATCAAAATACGTTATCTTGGGATCAATATTTTTTTAGTGCCAGATTTAATAAATATTTTTTTAAATAATGTACTATATTTTAATCATCCCCTTCACAGTTGTTACAAAATTCAACAGAAAAAATAAACGAAGAAAGTAAAGATGAATTATTTGAATCTTTATTTACTTCAAACGAGCAAAGTTGGCTATTCTCAGCTATAGCAATTGGACAATTAATTGGCACTTTACCAATTACAAGAATTTATACTCGATTTGGTTTAAGGTGGATAAACAAAATATTTTTAGAAATTATTCAAAAAAAATTTTTTCAAGAAATGTAATGGCTGCTTATGGATTTATTAGTTCATTATCGACCCTTTTAGTTCCACCAAGCATTTACTTGGGGGGATTTCCTTCACTTATGGTTTTACGAATTTTTCAAGGATTTGGAATGGCAGTAATTTGGGTAGCTCTAGGTGGGATTTTTTAAATTTTTAAAGAAATTAGAAAAATTTGTTCCTTTTTTTGTGGCGATCTGTACATAAAAAATATCCACTCATCTATGAAAGCTTTATTTTCCTTTTCTTATAAATATGCCTAATTTTTTAAAGATCATTTTTATTTTTAAATTTATTACAAAAGTAATGAATATTTTTACTCAAGCAAACAGCAGAATTTTTTCAGATTCTTTGTTGTTTGACTAATATGTACCGTCAATTTTTTATTTAATAGAATTTTTAGGGTCAATTAAATAAAAAATTGTTTTTAGGGTCAATTAGTTCAAATTGGTCTCCATTAGCAAACTCTGGCATGTTTCTTGTTGTTTTAACCTCTGCTTTCCAACTTGGTCCAATAACTGCGATGCCTTTGTCTGCCGAATTCTGCTCGTCAGAAATGTTTGGATGGCCAGCAGTTTATTATTTATTGGGAACAATTTCTTTAATTGTTTTTACAATTTTTTATTGGATTTATAGAGACTCGCCTAGAGAACACGAGTAAAAAATTTAGAAAAAAATATTTAAAAAAATTTGTTTAAAGGTTCCTTTCTTCTCGGGAATTGTCATTTATAGAACATGGAAAGCCTTTAAAAGATATTTCTGATGGTCGTAAGAAAAGACATGGAAATGAGCAGAAACAAAAAGTCCCTTATATGGCAATTCTTAAAGATACAGTCTTTTGGGGAGTTTTTCTGTGTACCGGTACTGGCAATTTGGCATTTCAAGTATTCTGGCAATTTGGGCCAATTTATCTAAATAAAGTAAAATTGCTGATAAATAAATAATTTTTTAAAAATAAAATAATTTTGAGGCATTAGGTATGGAAGTAGCCAAAACAGGTATAGCTTCAGCTTTACCTTTTGTATTGTCGTTAATTGGGAAAAACGTTGCTGGCCAAGCAAGTGATCGTTTGACTTCTGTTTCTGAAAAAGCTAAAGTTATATTTTTTGCTAGCATCTCTCAGGTTTCGAAGAGTAGTTAACATTCCCTCCAATTTATTTTTTTAAAGTATTTAATGGGTGCCTGTTTTTTGGCAATGTCTTTATTTCCTAAATTTGGCATTGTTAATGTTACTTTAATGCAATGTATTTACACTGCTGCAACTGTTTTTAGTGGTCTTAATACTGTTGGAGTAATTAAGGGTACCCAATTAGTAAGTAAATAAATTGGATTTTGTATTTGTTAATGTTTTAAATAGATGTCAGGTCAATTCTCTCATGTTATATTTTCATGGACAACAATCCAACTTAGTGCTATTATGTTGTGAGTTTTGTTGTGAATTAAAAATTAATTTTATTTTTCAAAATGTAATATTTTAGAATTCTCCCAATGATTATTAATTTGTTGACTCCGACAAATGCTGTTGAGGAAGTAAAAAATAATTTTATTTTAAAAAGGATTTTTAAAAAAATATTTTTAGTGGGCAGATGTTTTCCTGGTTGTCACTGCTCTTACTTTTATTGGAACAACATATTTTAATTATGTAATTGAAGTTGAACCTAGAGAATGGACTGAAACAGAATTACAAAGTGCCAAATCATCTTTAAGTACAACAACAGTTCATGGAACAACTATTTGTGCTGAGGAAGGCAAAAAGTTGGGATTGGATGTTTTACAAATTCGATGAAACGAGCGAAAGAAAATTAAAAAATATTCACTTTTACAAATTTTCTCCTTTCACTTTATTTTTTTTTTCATTTCTACTATATTGAAGAATTTAAAAATCCAAATTATGTATAATTTTGTTTGACTTTGAATCATACAATAAATTATTTTAAAATTAGGTAAAATATAATCTTGATAATAAATATAAAAATAAATAACTTACAAAATTCCAAAAATCTCGTAAAGTTTCTCTTTAAACTCTTAAACCCTATTGGACGTAAACGAAATTTGATGTTTAATAGTAAAAGTATTTTTGTTTACCGTATAAGCTCGAGTAGTTACTAGAGTTTCACCGGAAGTTCCGGTTCCGGAAAGTTCCGGTGTTTTTTTGGATCCGGTTCCGGTCAAAATTTCGGTTCCGGTGAAACACTACTAGTTACCCCCTTCAACGAATAGATACATATACTATTATTAATAATTTTTATATATTTTTTATTATTACAAATAATTACCCCCTCCAGAAATTACCTGACGTAATTATTCGAGTATATATAAAAATAATCGACGAGGATCTTTCACTAACAATAAGTATAATTAGAAAATGAATATATGTAATTAAATATAAATTCTAATAAAAATAATTCTAATTAAAAATTTATTTAGTACGAGAAAAAAGCTCGGAAAGTTTCAGATATTATATTCGTTATTAGATGCCTCAATTTTTAAAATTAAGGAATCAGTTATTTAATAATTATACATACATAATTTAAATCTAATATTTTAATTAGGTATTTTGTCTAATATTAGTAGAGGTTATTCCATTCTTTGCTGGACTTCTCAATTCTTTTAAATTTTCAGTTCGAAATTGTCTTTCCAATTCTTCCAATGATTTTAATCTAGTTTCAGGCATAAAAAACCAAACAAAAATAGCAGCCGAAACTCCAATAATGACAAATAAATAAGAAGTTCCCCAAACATTAATTAATCCAACAAGAACGGGAAATAAAAAAGAAATTAAACAATTAATCTGAAAAGAAATATTTTTTAATTTACAAATTAAATTAAATAAATAATTTACAAGCCACAGAATTGAGGTAGTTAACCCCATTGCCAATCCTCTTATTTTAAGTGGAAACATTTCTGACTGAACTAGCCATGTAACGGGGGAAATACCTCCTTGTTGGAAGAGAAGAAAAGTAACAGTTAATGATAAAACAAGATAACCACTAAATATATTTTTGAAATTATTTTGATGAAATTCTTTTTAATTTACCGAATTGTTCCTTCTTTAAAAAGTAGAGCAGTTGTGCCTATAAATAGATGCATAACTATTGTGCCTATTTGACCAGTTAAAAGCATTGGGCGTCGACCAATTCGGCCAAGAAGCCAAATTCCCAAACACGTAGCTAATACAGAGATTACCCCATTAGCAATGTTGGCAACCAAAGCTGCATTATTGTCTAAATAAATAAAAATTAATTTGAAATTGAAAAACGAATTTAAAAGACCCAATCCACTCCTTGTCAATATATCTGTCCCAAAATACATAATTGAATTTACTCCTGCTAGTTGATTACACATTGCAACACCAATGCCAATAAATAAACAACGACGAAGCCAACGTTCATAAAGACAATTACTAAATTTTATTTTTATAAATAAATTGGGCAAAAAATTTCGGGTCTCTTTAACTTAATTAATTCCTAAGAAAAGAAATTCTACCAAAATAATTAAACTTATGTAGAAATTATGGAGAAATAAGAGATTTTATATTTACCTAAAAGTTTTATTTTGTTCTTGTTCCATTGTTTGCTTAACATCCTCAACTTCATCAAGAACCTCTTGTTCATTTCTTCTTATCTTTTTGAGGACAGAAATTGCAAGTTCATTTTTCCCTTTATGGCAAAGCCATCTCGGACTTTCCGGAATACCTCCAAACAAAATTCCAATTAATAAACAAATTGCTGGAATAACTGCCAAAGCTAACATCCAACGCCAAATATCTAATCTATTTTTATTTGATTTTTAATTAATAAATTTTAAAAAATCTTCCCACCGATGTCCCCAAATATTTCCAAGTATTGCATTACAAATATAAGCAACTAATTGTCCACTAACAATCATTAATCTAAATATTAAATAAATTAAATAAATTATTTAAAAACCAACTCATTTCGAGTAACTACTTGTCCTCTCAATTTTGCTGGAGATAATTCAGCAAGAAATACCTTTTTAAAAATAAATTTAAAAAATAAAAATTGTCTGAACGAACCGGGACTGTAGTTGAAGCACCACCAACAGCTAAACCAAGAATAAATCGAAAGAATATGAGAAACTGAATTTTAAATAAATAGGCGAGGAAATAAAAAGTTTTTAAATTTTATTTAAATATTTACATTAAGATTAGACAAAGAACATCCAATAGTTCCAATAATAAATATAATCTTTACAAAAATATTTTTTTCTTTAAAAATTTTGTTAAATTAATTACACTTAAAATAATTAGAGTTTTCCTCCTTCCAATCCAATCTGCTAAATGTCCACCAATAAAAGACCCAAAAGTAGCACCAATTAATAAAGAACTTGTTACAATTCCAATTTTAACCTTTTTTGAATTAAAATAAATTTTTTCCAAAAATTATATTTATTTTTACATCACTAAGTTTTAAATCATTTCTCATATAAGGCAAAGCCCCATTAATTACTCCTGTATCATAGCCAAATAAAAGTCCACCAAGAGTGCATATCCAAGTAATTTTATGAAGAAAAAAGCGATAATGGATATTCTAAATATGTTATTTATTTATTTAAAATAAATATTAAGAAAATATAGGATGTAGTCTGGGATAAAAGTCCAGAACGTCCCAAAAGGAATTTCTGAAACACTCCTCCCTTGCCTTTTTTCCTTTGATTGGTTGACAGATTTTTTGCGGACATATAGATAGCGGACTTTTATCGTGGTTTGTATTTAAGGTAAATTTTTGTATATCAAGGCAATCTAATATAAAATTTCTGTCGCTATAATCTATTAGAGTTAATTATAGTAAAGGAAGTCGATTGTAGAATATTTAAAATATTATTTATTGAATTTTTTTTCTTAAAATATTGACATTCTTATTTTAATTGTTTATTTTTTAAATACCCGCCTCCCTTTGTTCATTATTTGGCTGCGCAATATTGATCAGTTTTGTTGGCCGTTCACCGTTGTAAATTTTATTTGTATTTGATAATGGTTGTGAATACATTTTTATTTAAATATTTTTTAAAAATAATTTCAAAATAACAAATAAACTAAACAAAATTCTAATTCCCTTACTAATATATTTCGATTATTTATTTCCTCAATTCAGTTCTCTCTTTAACGAATTAAATTTAAAATTTTATTCAGCCTAGTTTTATGTGAATAAATATTTAAATTGTTCTTTTAATTTGAAAAATAAAATTAATAATAAATTTTATTTAATTTTATTTAAAGATTTTTGTTAAAGATTATTAAAAAATAATAATTCTTTTATGTAAATTATTACACTCATTTGTTAGTTATTACAAAGTTTAAACTAGAGCGATGGGTTTACCACTGATGGCGGTGGTAAACCCAACTAGAGCGATGGGTTTACCACTGATGGCGGCGGATAGCTGGGAGCATTTGGTTACGACACTTTAGTTTTAAATTTTGCTCTGCCCGTTGGAAAGCCTAACGGCTTTGGGGGCGCGCTTCGCGCGCCGCTAGCGATTTTTTTTGCCTGGAACAAAAGATTAGCCTTCAGTTGGGACTCATCCATCCATTTAGAGTCACTTAGGGCCTTCGGTCCTCGTCTTCCCCTAATTTTCCCTCGATTGGACTCATCCTTCCACTTAGAGTCACTTCGGGCCTTCGGCCCTCGTCTTCCTCGCGATTGGACTCATCCTTTCAATTAGAATCACTTCGGGCCTTCGGCCCTCGCCTTCCCTTTTAGATGGGTGTCAGCTCGGGCCTTCGGCCCTCGCCCTCCCTTTTAGATGGGTGTCAGCTCGGGCCTTCGGCCCTCGCCCTCTCTTTTAGATGGGTGTCAGCTCGGGCCTTCGGCCCTCGCCCTACCTTTTAGATGGGTGTCAGCTCGGGCCTTCGGCCCTCGCCCTCCCTTTTAGATGGGTGTCAGCTCGGGCCTTCGGCCCTCGCCCTTCCTTTTAGATGTGTGTCAGTTCGGGCCTTCGGCCCTCGCCCTCCCTTTTAGATGGGTGTCAGCTCGGGCCTTCGGCCCTCGCCCTCTTTTTTATATAAGTGTCAGCTCGGGACTTCGGCCCTCGCCCTCTCTTTTAGATGGATGTCAGCTCGGGCCTTCGGCCCTCGACCTCTCTTTTAGATGTGTGTCAGCTCGGGCCTTCGGCCCTCGCCTTCCCTTTTAGATGGGTGTCAGCTAGGGCCTTCGGCCCTCGCCCTCCCTTTTAGATGGGTGTCAGCTCGGGCCTTCGGCCTCGCCCTCTCTTTTAGATGGGTGTCAGCTCGGGCCTTCGGCCCTCGCCCTCTCTTTTAGATGGGTGTCAGCTTGGGCCTTCGGCCCTCGCCCTCTCTTTTAGATGGGTGTCAGCTCGGGCCTTCGGCCCTCGCCCTTTCACTTAGAGTCACTTCGGACTCATCCTTTCACTTAGAGTCACTTCGGACTCATCCTTCCATATAGACCCTTGTCTTTCTTTTATTCGGACTCATCCTTTCACTTAGAGTCACTTCGGACTCATCCTTCCACATAGACCCTTGTCTTTCTTTTATTCGGACTCATCCTTTCACTTAGAATCACTTCGGACTCATCCTTTCACTTAGAGTCACTTCGGACTCATCCTTCCATATAGACCCTTGTCTTTCTTTTATTCGGACTCATCCTTTCACTTAGAGTCACTTCGGACTCATCCTTCCACATAGACCCTTGTCTTTCTTTTATTCGGACTCATCCTTTCACTTAGAGTCACTTTGGACTCATCCTTCCACATAGACCCGTCTTTCCTTTATTCGGACTCATCCTTCCACTTAGAGTCACGTCGGGCCTTCGGCCCTCGTCTTCCTCTCGATTGGATTCACCCTTTCAATTAGAGTCACTTCGGGCCTTCGGCCCTCGGCTTCTCCTCGATTGGACTCATCCTTTCAAGAAAAACAAAATTTCGAAGCAGAAACTGCTTCACAAAGCATCTCTGCTTCGGATCCATAACAGGATCCAGCTTATCCCCCCATTAAATTTCCCCCAATATACAAAATTCACCCCTAAGTTCTTCTACGGTTTGCCCCCCATAGTCAGAGACGGAGAAAAATTTCTCCTCTCTTCCTTACATTTGACCTGTCAATCATTTTTCCTCTCTCCCTCCCATCATTCTCCGGGTACGGTAGTCCAACCCTATAAATTTTCGAACATTTGTAACTTCGTCAAAATGCACCGAAAAATTTTGAAAAAAATATTTTTATACCCAGCTCAATAAGAGCTTTCGAATGATATCTCATTTGCCATATCTTTTTTGATTTTTAAAATTAAAATTTTTTGGCCGGAAATTTCTGCCTGAAAAATTCACTAAAATTTTCAAAAAATCATATCTCACCTAAAGTATTCCTATTTTAAAGATTTTAAAATCTTTTCAGGTGCAGAAAAATCTGCTTTATCCAGGAAAAATTACTTCGGTCCGAACCGCCGGCAAAAATCCCGAAAAAATTTCGAAAAACCGAAAAATTTTGGGTTTTTCGAAATTAGACCCCTACACCTCCAATTTCGAATTTTTTCGAAATTTTTTTGGCTCAAAAAATTTCTAATTTTTTACTCTATTTTATAAATCAAACCCCATTCCATTCCGGAAATCCAATAAAAAGTTATTCCAAATTTAAAAATCCCTCATATCCCCCAAAAGGGGTACCCCTTTTGAAAAATTCGAGGGGTCAAAAATTTTCAAATTTTGACCCAAAAATATCCTATATGGTACTCTTACACCCGCTGAATCCAAATCAGGTGTCAGAAAAATTTTTAAAAAATTTGCAAAAAAGTTATAGCCCAAAAAAGTTTCGCGACATTTGCGAACATTGGCCATAACTTTTTGAGACTCAACCGGACCCCCGACATATTATACCTTTTTGGGACCGCCAGGGGACGCTCTATAACATAGGATATCAAAAAAACCTGAAACGACAAATTTTGACAATTGGAGCCATCCTTCCCTATTTTACATCGGGCCATTTTGAACGGGGTTGGGACAAAATTTTCGAACTTTGACCCAAAAAATATCCTATATGGTACTCTGGCATGCGCTGAATCCATTTCCGGTCTCAGAAAAATTTTAAAAAATTTCGCAACAAAGTTATAGCCAAAAAAAGTTTCGCGACATTTGCGAACATTGGCCATAACTTTTTCAGACTCAAATGGACCCCCAACATATTATACCTTTTTCGGACCGTCAGGGGACGCTCTATAACATAGGATATCGAAATCAAGTTTCAATTCACTTTTCGCGATTGGAGCCACCCTTCCCAATTTTACATGCCCGAATTTTGAACCTTTAAATTACTGTAACTCGGTCCAAAGTGGTCCGAAAAATTTGAACTAAAATTCCCCGAACTTAGCTCACTGAGAGCTTTCATTTGAGCTATTACACGTGAATTGTCGATGAGTTTCGAAAATTTCGACTTTACCGACAGGGGGGGATTTTCACCGAAATCCGGATTTTTGCGCACCAATAAGTCCCTTCAAATTGGAATTTCGACTTCGAATTTTTTGCATTTGACATCTCCATTAAATGCTTCAGTGCCCTCCCAGCGGAACTTTTTCGATAACTCCACTCATTAAAAAGATAGCCCCGGTACCTATAAAATTTAGGTACCAGGGGGGTAATTTAGGTACCAGGGGGTACCCAAAGCGCGCTTCGCGCGCTTTGGGGGCGCGCGAAGCGCGCCCCCAAAGCCGTTAGGCTTTCCAACGGGCAGAAGTATCGTAACCTAAAGAACCCCCCGATGTATTTTACTGCCACAGTGTCCTGATATCAACAACAGTGGCCAAACCCATCGCTAGTTTTATGTGAATAAATATTTAAATTGTTCTTTTAATTTGAAAAATAAAATTAATAATAAATTTTATTTAATTTTATTTAAAGATTTTTGTTAAAGATTATTAAAAAATAATAATTCTTTTATGTAAATTATTACACTCATTTGTTAGTTATTACAAAGTTTAAACTAGAGCCCGGACCGATTCGATTTTTTATCGATATTTATCGATATTTTTCGATATTTTTTTTCGATATTTATCGAAAAAATATCGACCGAGAAAATTTTGACTTTTTCGATATTTTTCGATATTCGATATTTTTTCGATATTTATCGAAAAATATCGACCGACAAAATTTAAAAATCGAAACAATCGACCGACCAAATTACAAAAAATCGAAAAAAATATCGAACGTCATTTTTGACAAAAATATGAATTTTTGGCACAAAAAGGATGCATTTTTGCTTCTTGCCCATCGGAAATTCAAAAAATTTTCGCCGCGGCGCAAAAAATTTTGCAACTTGACCTTCCGAGATTCTCATAAGATTGTTAGAATATCCTATCTTGTCCCATTAAGTCATCATATTCCCTCGATACCCCTACAAAACACTGATATGAATTTTAAAAATTTCGGTAGATTAAGGGAGATTTCAGTGGGTTATGAGAAGATTTGGTGGGATATTTGAGATATCCAGGATCATGAGGATATTGTGGATATCCGGGATATTCGACTATTTGTATAACTAATAGAGGATTAAGTGGATAAAATGGATCTCAAGGATCAAGACGGACTTTGGGAGAGATGGATATCAAAACGGATATCAAATGCCAAGATTTTTTATCCTCTGATATCTCTTTATCCGCCGATATCTCTCTTAATCCACAAATCACTTGATATCCCTCATGATCTCATAAATCCACAATACAGTCTTAATACCTCTAAATCCATCGATACACACTCGTCCTTCAATATCCCCCTTAATTCCTTAAAATCCATTATCCCTAGTTAAAATCCACTTATATCCCACTTGATCCTTCGATATCAAATACAAGTCCATTGATATTACATTTAATCCGTCCAAATCCACCAATATCCCATTTAATCAATCTTAATCTTATTAAACTATTAGTTCTATCCTGTTATTCAGTGGTTATAGAAAAATTTTTGAAAAATCGAAAAATATCGAGACTTTTTTTTCGATATTTTTCGATTTCGATATTTTTCGATATTTATCGAAAAAATATCGACCGAGAAAATTTTGGTTTTTTCGATATTTTTCGATATTCGGTATTTTTCGATATTTATCGAAAAAATATCGACCGAGCCCTCCGTCCGGGCTCTAGTTTAAACGGCTTAAATGTTTAAATAATTTTAGTCTTCTCTTACAAGCTTAGTAAAAGTAAATAAAAGAATTTTTGTTTATTTTAAATTTAAAATATATTTTTGAGTTTCTAATATTAATATTATTTTTATAAAAAATATTTAGATTTTAATTTATTTGTTATTATAACTTATATCGAATTAAACGGTCTCGTCCTACCCTAATTATAGGTAGGACGAGACTCGTCCTACCCTAAAATATTAAAGTTTATTTTATTTTTTTTTGTTTTCTATATCACCTAAATTTATATTTTAAAATTATTTTTTATTCTTAACAACAAATATATTTTTATAGAAAAAATTTATTAATAAATTTAATAAAATGCACGCAAAAAATAAAAAGAGAAAACAGATACATAATAATAGAGCCACAATTAATTAATAAAATTATTTTTTAGAAATTAATTTGTACATAAAATAAAAGTGAGGTTATTAATTTAATTAATTTAAAGTGAAAATTAAATTTTTTTCTTCAAAAAATAATTATTTTATGATTATGAAAATTATTAAAATATGTAAAAAGGGTTAGGAAAGAAGAGATCAAACCTGAGAGTTTTGAATATATAGTAGTAGTAATTTTATTTTTCTGGGAAAGGGGATATTAAATAATTGTTTTTGGATTAATTAGAAATTAATTAAATAAAATTTAAATTTTCTTAAAAAAAGAATACAAAAATTTAATTTAGTAAAAATAATACTAAAAGTGATTTTAAAAATAATTAATCCTTTCATTAATAAAAAACAAAATTAAGGCATCACCGGAATTATATAAAAAAATATAAAATAAACTAAATAAACACAAAACCTTTAAATATTTAAAAAAATATTATTTTAAAGATTTACATTTTTATTCTAAAAAATATTTTTTTAATAAAAAAATTTCGAGAAAATTCATGTGAATTTCTTCAGAATTATTTAAAATAATTATATAGAGAGAGATCATTGGACAAAAATAGAAAAGTTTTTTAGAAAGGTTGGATTTTAATAAATTAATTTAAAATAAATATTTAAAAATATTTTTGAATAAAAATTTTCCTAAAAAATCGGAAAAGGTTTTGTGTATTTACTAGAATATATATAAAATAATTACGTATTTTATAAATAAACTTTTCTTATTCTATAATCCCTCGGAAGTGTAGAACCCAAACTAGTTGTTTGGCATCTAGCATCATGCCTAGGTGTTGCAAAACCAGAATTGGCTCTAGATGCTCCTGTCGAGATTGAAGTTAAGGGAACTAAATGATGGACACCTCCTCTTTGGCTCATTACTAAACTAACTGTATCCCCTCCATTACAGACACAACTACGAGGGCCAACCTTTGAAAAATATATCAAATTTTAAAAGGAAATTAAACACTTACTGAATAAACATTATTTCCAGCCAACATCATCATTTTCTGTTCAGTTGAATCCTGCCTAGCCAGTCTAGCTCTCGCACTGCCATCTGTTCCGTCTGCATAATCAGAACTGTTAGACGAAGTACTTGCCCCTGAGGAAGCAGGATTATTACGTGTAAATTCGCTCAAAGTTCTCCATTTAGCTATACGCCAACCAATCTAAAAAATAGGAAAGTTTTCAATTAAAATTTTTAAAATTAAATACTTCAAAAATCTGGTAAATCTTTAGAATTTTTAAATTAAAAAACTTACAACAAAACCAAACAAAGTAGCAACCAAAACAAGCAAAACAAGAACTGAAAGACTTCCAGTTGAATATAATCCTGCCAAATCAATTCCTCTTTGTGTTGGTTCTGCAATATGTGCAGCATCAGAATCATCAGATAAAGGGTCATTAAGTCTGTTATTTAATGGAGACAAATTTTGTAGTCCACCACCGCCAAGAACATCTTCATCTATTACATAAGCAGCTCCACCCTCTGCATTTCCCAAAATACTTGTAAATCCTGGACATTGTTCTGATACACCCAAAAGAACATTCTGAACATAGGAACCGCTATTCCAATCTCTGAAAACAATTAAATAAGAATAAATTAGAAGAGAATCTCTGACTTTCTATTAACACAGCGCCGTAATTCAATGTCCCAAGCACAATGCTTAAAAATAAATTTTAGATAATTAAAAATAATTTTCAAAATTATTTTACCGGATCTCTTAAGGCAACACAACGTCCACAATTTTCTGCCAATGAACAATGTTGTAAAGGAATATTGGCTACTTGAGAAAGCGAAGAAACAATTAATGAAGGGATATTATTATTTGAAGTATTAGGCAATAAACGAATTCCAATAATTGGTGTAAGTAATGGAAATACTTTAATTGTCTCAACAAGAACAGCTGTTCCATTTTGGGATAAATCTATTAACTAAATGAGAAAAAGAATTATTAATTATACTTTAAAATATTTTAAAGTTTTCTTGCCTTAGAGATAGTTCCATCTGTTCTACCAACAAATATAGCATTATGCTTCTGTCGGCGAATAGAAAGGGCATCTGCTGTAACTGCAATTGATGTTAAATCAGCACGATTTGGACCTAAATAAAAAAAATTTGGATGGAAAATTTAAAAAAAATTCACCCTCAACAAGCAAAGGACTATTTCCAATAGTTGAAACTGTCTCATACATAAGAGGATTCTTGCTAATTGGAGCCATATCTGAAAGTTTATTAGAAGCATCTGGTCCACACTGTCCTGGTCTTTCAGAAGGATTTGAATAAAATTTTTGTGACGGAGTCCATAAAGAGGTTGGAGATCTTTGGGTCTAAAAAGAAAAAATTTTTTCTTTAAGTAAAATTAAATTTCACCTTAAATCTCCCATGATCAAAAACCGAATCAATTTGGCTCATTCGAAAAGCGCAGACTGCTGACATTGGTAATGATCGACTAGTTTGAAAAATAGCATAAACTAAAGCATCCCCAGAATTTCCTCCATAAGGAATTGGATCAGATATTGACTCTAAAAAGCATTTTCCATAAATTTAAAATTGTAAATAAATTCTCTTACGTATTTCATTAAAATAAAAAGGAGAAATATCTCCATCACCGGGAACAGAACAATTTAATCTCAACTTTAAAAAGCTCGACCATCTATCTTGTGCCGGGGAAGGACCCCCAGGATCATTAGCACAAACTCTTCCAACTCTTGAATATATTTGTGTTTCTCTATTGTTGTCGAGAGCATCTGAGGCTTTCTCTCTATACCAAAAATAAACATAATCCCCATAAGAGAATGATCCAACAAAATTAGGTTCTAAAACAGAAAATTCGTTAGTAAATAACTCCTTAATAATACTCTACCATCAATAACTCTGTCATCTTTTTGTGTTCGTAAACTATCTCCACCTGACAATCTTCGCCTATAAATAAGAGGATCTGTAGCACTAAAGTCAGATATTGCTCCAACAAAAATATCATTCCGTTCAGGTAAATAAACATAAGAAGAATTTTGAAGAGGATCATAAGGAGAAATTGCCTTTAATTTAAAATATTTATAAATATTTAATTAAATATTTTACTTGTCCATTAAATTGTCCTCTCTCAGCAAATCTATCTTCAGATTGAATAAATTCATATTCACGACATTGTGGAGAAAAAGCATGTGTTCCACAAAGGAGAATACGTCCATTTTGGAGTTTTGCGGCTACTCTGACGAAGTTGTGGCATTCAGCCTGGAGGATTATTTTGGGAAATTATTTTTAAAATAAAAGGTGTAAATTAATATTCAAAATCACCTCTGATTTTCCCTTCATAAGGCATTCTTCAATTGTTTGGCCAGGTGCTTTCCATTGGATTGTCTGAAAATATTTTTTAGTTAACAAAGTAAAAATCTTTTTTTAACACATTTTCTCGATTAATTATCCAACTAGCGAAAAATTGAATAATAATTACCCCACTCCCCTCAATTATCCTTTAAAATTTTAAACACAAATAGACCCCACGATTACTGTAATAATTTGTTCATAAAAAGCAAAAACTCACTAATTTCGTATTTAATCTGCTTGTAGAAAGATTATATAAAGCATCTCTATTTAATAAGAAAAAATATTTATTTAATTATAATTGAATAAATTTATTTTACCTTCCCCCAATCAAAATATAGTCTGAATTTACATTTAGCAAAATAAATCTATCCTGAGTTTTGATAGGGCTTGTAAACCTTGGAATGCTCTCTACTGAAATATTTAAAGTATTTTTTTAATTAAAAAAATATTTTTGATTTCAAAAACTTTTTAATAATTATTTAAATTTACAACCCCCCTTTCCCCTTTCACAATACAATTCCCCCATATTTTTGTTAACAATTTCCTTCCTTTTAATTACAAAAATATGTGTAAATATGTAGATATTAGTTTTTGTTTTATGATTATAAAAATTGATATAAATCTACGTTTTTTGCATAAATGTATTTTATTTTTTAGTTGTAAAAGGATCAAAGGAGAAAAAATTCTAAAACAAAACTGCTTGATAGATGAGAATGGAAGAATAATGGCAAAAACGGAAAAAAACAAATTAAGTATGTACAAATATTGAACTAAAAAAGGATTTCCATTTAGATTTAATTACTATACATATTAGAATTAGTTATTAAATAAAATAAAAATATCAGAGAAGGGTAAACAATAAACGAGGAATTTTTAAATAGTTAAAATTCGTTTTATGAATAAAATTAATACTGTGGACTTGAAAATAATTAAATAATTTTTTTGAGTATTTTTACAAATATTCTTAAATTATAAAGCATATAAACTAACAACTGATCTAACACAATTTAAAAATTACCTGTAAAAGTTTAACACTTGTACATATAATTATTATTTTATTTTTCAAAAAACTTGTTGAAAATACCTTCAAAAGTGTTCTTTTGTTATTTTCAATAATTATTTAAAAACAAACAAATAAATTTATTTATTTGTTTATTATACTCTCGACATATATTTTCCATAATATATCCACTCATCGGCGACAGCGTCAATTTGTCTGTCATCATCTCTTTCCCCCCTTTTTTTCATACTTATTCACAATAGCCAAATTGCGCACAAAACCCAATGTAAACTAACAATTTGTCCGTGAATTTATTTTTGAGTAAATCGAGACAATTACTTGACGGTCAAAATAATTTTTGTACAAAACACAAAAATAATTTAATAGTTTTCTTTTCATCTTTTTTGAATAGCAACAATCTTTTCAATTAAATTGGGAAGAAATTTTGATTTGTAAATATATGTAAGTGAGGAATGACATTGAAAATAAAATTAACAAAAGAAAATAAAAAAGATTTTTTGAAAATATTTGGAAACCTATTTTTATATACATCAAACGAGTAAAATATAATTAAAAATATATCCGATATGAATAGAATTATTAAAAAAATATATTTGTAATGGAATTAGGTATATGTATGTATTGTTAAATATAATTTACATTATTAATAAAATAAAATATTTTTTGATATTTTTACCTTCATTAATAAATTGACTCGGTCTCGGGTTCAAATTTTCTATCGAGTATACAGGAATAAATATAAAAATCAGCAAAATTAATAAGTTGTCAAAGGGGGCAAATATAAAATTTCGTTTTATTCTCCTCCAAATTATCATAACTTTGATTGAGGAAATAAAAACGGAGAAAATAAAAGAAAGAATTTTTTTCGAAAATTTAAATGTTGCTGAAAGTTTTTTGTTGAAATTGAAACTAAATTAATTAATTTAGTTGTTGAATATATTTAAAAGAAAATAAACATTTTCAGTTAATGATGCCTTAAAATTATTTTAAATTAAATAAAAATAGGAAATTAAATTTTGAAGAAAAAAGGTGTAAAGGGAATTAAGAGAAAAAGAAGGAAATGACCAAAGACTCATTGACAAAAACGAAAGTAAATGACCCCATATGCAGCAACTAAATAAATTTTGAGAGGCCCAGCTGATGACCAAAATAAATAAAAATTTTGTTTGGAAATTAAATTAAATAGTAAATATAGGTAATGTATTTGTGTATTGAAATTAACTATAGATGAGGATAAAATTGGAAATAGAAATTATAAGGATATTTAAAAAAAAGTATGGAAGGATAACTTTGAAATAATAATTTCAATATTATAATTTTATTTTAAGAAAAACAATGGAATAAATATTTAAAATATACTACGGAAATGTTGAGAAAAAACTGTCTTCAAAAAGCAGAAAAACTAATAAAACTTCAATCCTACAAATAACTTTTTAATATTAAAGATAGAATCAAATAATCGGGAAAATCAAAGCATTGTAAAAAAGAATTATTAATAATAAATACAAGGACAAAAAAAGAGAAAATACAAAAGCGGCAAAGCACGAACACAATTTAGTTCGAAAAACGACAAGAACGACCTTTTCCGTCTTTTATTAAGTAAAAGACTGACAAAAGTATATATCTACATAACGTTCTTTTTGCCGTCCGAATGCCCACAAACATTTTTCCCCCTTCGATGATGAACTACTACTAAAGTGAAGGGACACTGACTGAAGGCCGGTGGGGGAGAAAAGTGGGGCAGGCACCGGGGGAATGCTCTAGAGCAAATCGATGGCCTGGGACGATGTTTTAGAAAAAATGGGGTTTATTCTTTCAATAAATAATTATATATTTTTTTCTACTAAATGCTTTGAATTATAGCTATTTTTGTTAAAAGACATAGAGGAGATCTTGTGGTTTGTGGATAAAAAATTAAATGAGAGAAATAAATGAGAGAAGAAATAAATTAAAATAATTAAACATAATAAAAGGTGATCAAAGTGATAATTAAATTTTAAAATAATTAATTTTCCTTAAATGTAATTAAAATTAAAAAAATAAAGTATAAAAAATTTAAAAAAACATTTTTAAATATACATATGTATAAAATAAGGTATTAACTACATAAATGTTTTTCAAAAAAAAATAATTTAGCCTTCAGTTAAGTTTTGCGCATCCCCCATAATTTTCACGCTCAAATTGTCACCTTCTTACTTCTATAAATGACCCTACTAACAATGGCCGGTATTCTTCTTTTTGTCTTCTTAATAGAAAAAAAACTTGGTAGAATTTTACTTTTCGTACTTTTTTCCCCTCTTTCAATTAGGCCATCATTATTCGCGCCCGATTGATTCCCCAGAGGGAAAAGAAGTAAAGAATAAAGAAAATCGCCAAATCTTTAGTTGATTTGTGCCCCCCCACCCCCATCCATTCCCTCCTTCCCTCTATTTTACATTTTTCGATGCTCTCTGAATGTATTCAAGCGTTACTAATTTTTCTGTTTTATTCTAAATGTTCAAAATAACGGCCAAAATATTTTTTGAAATTACCGCCACTTTTCAATTTTGACGGCCTACACCACTTGATGGATTAAAAAAAGGATTGGTCACCAAAAAATTGAAGTGGATACTTAGAAGGATTTTCCCAAATTTTTAAATAAATTAAAGAAAAAATAAAAAATACTTGGATATTTTCATACATCTTATCCTTTTATTAGAGGAAAAATATTGGTGGAGAATTTTTAGGAGGAAAATGGATAATCTTTAACCGAAAATGAAAATTTTTTTTAAATTATATTTAAATATATTTCTTTATTTTATTTTAATGTTAAAAATGTGATATAAGAATAAGTCATCTACATAATACTATATGAACGATAATTTTTAGTTAAATATTTAAAGAAATTAAAAATTAAAAGAAATTATTTTTAATAAAAAAATACCAAAATAAAATTGAATTATAAATTAAAAACTCATCTCCCATTTCCTCTTATTATTCTCATGAATCCACAGCTCAGCAGGGTATTTTAACGTTTTATTTTCCAACAGAAAAACATACTAATTTAAATAAAAAAGCCTGGGAATTTTATTGAAATTTATTTATTTATTAAGGGCCGACACCACAAATTAGGTAGGGGGATGATGTGAGAGTGTGAATTAAAATATATAAATGGTTAAAAAATTTTAGAAGAGAATGACTAAATTGGCTAGGGATGTCTTCAATTCAAAAGTAGCTGTGAAGTGAAGAAAAAATTTTGAACAAGAAATTAATGGAATAAAATTGGGGAAAGGGGAATGTGTTAATTTATAAATAAATATTTTATTTTTATACAGGGTGACAAGAAAGTTCGGAGTGAAGTATTTATGTACATAACTTCAAGCAAAAACATTCTACGGATATAAAATGATATGATAAGATCGAGAGCTAAATAGGGAATAAATTTTAATAGATGGTCAAAAGATTCCACCCTTCTGCGTTGATACATGGTCGAACGCGTGCGTTAAGATTTTTGATGAAAACTTGCACCGGTTTTTATGGTTGAAGACTTATAACTTGGGAACGGATTGTGCTATTGATTTGAATTTTTGAGGGAAGCTAGAGGGGAGTCTGATCTTCAAATCCTATAAAACAAAAGAATTTTAAACTAAGAATTTAGAGAGATATTTATTTACAAATAACCCACGCTAAACAAAAAAATTCGTTTCCACCCAAAACCGAATTACATCTACTCACAGCCCTTCATGTAAGAGTTATAGGTTTCATATTTAAAATTCACCTGGGTCGCCTATAAGCTTAATTAAATTCTTTTAAAATCACGCAGATCTGACTTTTCAATCTTGAGATACTGAAAGTAAAATTTTGTGGAGGAAATTTTGGTATGTCTTACGGTCATGGCTATAACTTTTGTTATATCGAATAATATTTTGCTTAATTTTGTAAAATGATAGAGAATTGAATGGGCTACAAAATGAGTATAAAATTATTTAAAAATATTAAGTCTACAGAAAGTTATGGTAAATAAATACTCCACTCCGAACTTTTTTGTCACCCTGTAATATGTATATTCTAGATATTTTAAGAAGGTTTTTAAAGAAGGGGCAGATGGCCAAAAAATATTTTATAATTTAGTAGAAAAATGGAAATATATATTTTCTAGAAAAGAATAATTGATAGAAGGTCAACAAAATAAATATTTATTTATTTATGCTTCTTAAACTTGTTGAACGTTTAGTCCTACAAGTAAAAAGAACATAAATAATTATGATATTTTTAAAGGACATTATCTAGTATTTGGCTAATATTTAAGTATACTTTATAATGTTTAAAGCTCTTAAGATTTTTGACTAGTTTTGAAAAAGAGAAGGATTGTGTGAATAATGTTTTTGTTTGTTTATTTACATAAATTAATTAAAAGACAAAATTAACCAAATATATTTATTACTAGCTAGTTCTTGTTGGGCATAAATTCTGAAAGAAATGCGAGAAAAAAATTAGGAAGATTATTTATTTTATATTTGTCCAGAAGTAAAGAAAAAATTGTTTAGTTCTATTTAAGGAGATTTAAAGGAAAGAAGTTTTTTGTTTAAAAATAATATTTGGAGCTTATTTTGTGTATTTAAAGCTTTTTTGGAATAAACTAGTTTTGGCCAGAAATTTTATAAAATACAAGATGCTTATTTTAAAGGATTATAAATAGGGGTAGACTAAATATTAAGCATTATTGGTTTCCATAAAATATTTTGAAATTTTTTTGATTTTTTAGAAAATGATTTAGAAATTTTTATTTTTGCCAAAAATTTTGAACAATTAAAATATAAATAGAAATAAATACTCCAAAATATGTAAAAGAGCAACGTCCTTAAGTGCTCAGACTAACGTAAAATTATTATTGTTGTCTTCATAATTATGAGATAATAAAAATTGTTTTGAATAGGAAGAAAAGATTTAATTATTAAATGAAAAAACACAAAATCAAAGTAAAGAAATTAATTAATTAAATAATAAAATTTTCGTTAATTTAATAATTTTTAATCTAAACACAAAAAGATTTATAAACCTCAACCTTTAAACAATATTTTGAATTTGAGGAATATCAAAAGTGAACTGGGAATTAAATGAAGAAATTTAAATATTAATATTTTTTATAAAAAATTTTTAAAAATTAATACCAATTAATAAGCATACTATAAATAAAAAATAAAAATAATTGAAAAATCTTTTAGCAAAAAACCATGTGAAAGGAATAAAATATTTGGAAAGCTAATAGTTATTATTAAAGTAAATAATATTTTTTGAAAAATTCGTGACTTGAAAAAAACTTTCTTTATAGACCCATCTAATTTTGGAGTGTAGTAATACTATCGCGCACGCGTAGGTTAGAAATAAATTAATTTTTATTTTTCGTCGATTGATCGACCCTTCTTTCAATTTAAATTGCTCATGCGACTTTCACTTCTTTAAATCAAAAAATTATTGTTTTTTAAATAAAATAAAAATTATTTTTAGATTGAGGAATTAGAATTAAATTATTATTTAATAAAAAATATATTTGTTATACATTAATTTATTTGTGACAAACAGCTACATAGCTACCTCGCCAACACATTCCTTTAAAATATGCAAAACACACAAGTGTTGATCTAACTAGACTATGTACACTGTTTTTCACATTTAAGATGGCCCAGATAGGCATTCTGATTCATTCAAAAATATTTATTTAAATCTCGTTTTGTTAAAAAACAGTGAGAAAAAATAATATTTATTGTATGTATGTATTTTTGTACTGGGTCAAGAAAAGATAAAAATATCCTGAGAATTTTAAAGATTGACTTTTCCGAAAAAAATTTTGTTTCCAAA